TTTGTAAGCAGGTGCCTGAGGACTTGAAAAGTTGGCTCTAGTTTCAGAGCTGAACTTAGATGAGATTATTTTTACATGAAGCATGTAGGGTTATGTTGAAGTTGGATGATGCAACTGTATGAAGGGGTTCCCTCTAGAATTTCTTTGTGGTTTCTCCATGCACAATTCCTCCCCCTCTCCCCTCCTGCCCCTTCCTTCCCTCCCTCTGGTGTTTTCTGTAGTCCTTATCACTGCCATAATCAAATACAAATTAGGTTCTCAGGTTTTAGCTCCCTTTTATTTGTCTGGGTTATTCAATGTTTCCTCACATTGTTTAAATGAAGAATGTTTCCTTTCACTTAGGAAGATTTAAAGAAAGAGGGGAGGAAAAGCTTTTGAGGTTTCACTGAGCCCATGTCAAAACTTGAAGATTACATTCTCTGTATAAACCACTGATAGTAAATCTACATATTTCTGGTTGTACCTCACCAGCATAGCTAAGTTTTCTTTTTCTTGCTTTCTGCTGCCTCTGCTGCAGTCTCTTTTCTTCTGGTCAGTGATTCCAAATCCATCATCCCCCGCCTTTTTTTTTTTATCTTTTTTTTTCACTCAGCTGGATAGGTTGCTTCTGAAGCACTTCTCATACTGCAGCACAGCTTTCCTAGCTCCTCCTGGCAAGGGAATGTGCTTGCTTTTTTTTTCTCAGCTGGATAGGTTGCTTCTGAAGCACTTCTCATACTGCAGCACAGCTTTCCTAGCTCTCCTGGCAAGGGAATGTGCTTGCACTTTATAAAGAGAACATTGCTGTCTTGCATGGCAGAGATCAACAGGCAGGTTATGGGTTATGTTAAAATGTAATCATGCTGATTTTGATGCTCTGTAGTTACAAAGGAGGCTTTTGCTTTCACAGTGCAGGTGGGTGACAGCAAAATTAATACACTTCTATCTTTTTTTTTCACTCAGCTGGATAGGTTGCTTCTGAAGCACTTCTCATACTGCAGCACAGCTTTCCTAGCTCCTCCTGGCAAGGGAATGTGCTTGCACTTTATAAAGAGAACATTGCTGTCTAATCCTATGCATGGCAGAGATCAACAGGCAGGTTATGAGTCTACTTAAAATGTAATCATGCTGATTTTGATGCTCTGTAGTTACAAAGGAGGCTTTTGCTTTCACAGTGCAGGTGGGTGACAGCAAAATTAATACACTTCTCTCTGTTGCTGCAGTCTTCTACTGCTGGAAACTTCATTAAGTGGTGCTGAACATGGTGCACAGTGCTTTTGATTGGTCGGGAACTTCATACATCCTATTCTTATCCTAGGTGACTCCAGGGCAGGCCTCCTACTTAACTCATCAGCTGTCATTTTTTGTATATCTGCACATTTCATAAGTGGTTTTACAGTATAAATATTAAATAAATAGGGAAGAAATCTTTTCCCATTACTGACAGTAATGGACTTAAAAATAAAAGTTTAAATTTTGCTTGGGAATCTTAGTTAATTTCTCTGCTTAAGTCAAATGAAAATCTGAATAAGACGCACAAATCTTTAGGCTACAATGGACTCTAAAATGTATTAGAGGTATGTGCCCTCTCATGGAGGAATAGACCACTGTCAAATTGAAATGTGCCTGCTGGAAAATTGAGTGGTTCTTGTCTGACCGACTGTATTCCTTCTGTGATATGTAAATTTCAAGTAAAAGTCTCTTTGAACGTTGGGGTAGTCTAACACATGCAGCAATTTAAACGTAAGGCAGTATAGCGGGTTTACTCAGCCTTGCAAGCCTTCACTGCTGAGGATGGTGTCAGAGTCTTGTTGCGAGCCGTTCCAATGGCTGGAAGAAATAGTGAAACGTATTAACAGGTTATACAATAGATAAAAATGTCACAAAAGTGGTCTAAAATTATATACAGAGATGTGATATACATATAGACAATATATCTAGACCTATATATAACTACATATAGATCTATATGTGCCTATACTTTAAATAGATATAATATACATGTCATATATTAATATATATTCATATGTAATGCCCATAATACAGATAGATATAATCTGCATGTATTTATGGTTATTTATTTATAAATTATATTTTGAATTGGTTGCTAAGTGTTTTGGTGTTTGTATAATTCTCATGTTAACATTTCTACGTAGAGTTAAGTATATGTACATGTTTAAGTTCAATGATTTCCCTAGATTTTTTATATATTGCTCATCACACTAGAATCTCAGTGCCCCCTAGATCATGAACTTTGATGGAAAAATAGATTAGCTCTCCAGTTTTCTTCTGAATCCCACCTTTTTTCATTTTTTTTCTCCTCACATTGTAAGAAGCAGCTGGCACATTGCTATATAAAAGAATACCTCCAGGCACAAAAAAGAGATTTTGGGCAGTAAGACAACAGCTGCAGAAATTGCATGGACATAGGGCAAGGTCTGTCCTGTGGGAAGGCTGTGCTGTGAAGTGACATCTAGCTGCGGTCGGGCTGGTGTGGAGGTGTGACAGCAGCTGGGACTGAAGGGGTCACACAAACCAAAGCATCCTCTGTCTATAATACCTAATCAGTCCCTATCATCCACGATAGTTTGGGCTGGCTACGCTAATAAAGGGTCTAGGACTTCTCATTTTTCTGAGGTTAGAGAAGTGGATTTTTCCACCGTGAAGTTTCTTCCAAAGCCAGTGTAATTGAAGTGGGAGATCGCTCTAACCCTAGGAACGAAGTGTTCATATAGCTTACCAGTATCAGTTTTTCCAGCGATTCCAGAACTACTATCTTGTGGAGATTACTCCTCAACAAACATGTTTTGCTGTTAACTTACAATGTATTAATTCTCATTACTTACAAGAATTAGCTTGTAAACATGCAAAACTGAAAGTACTTAGGTTTTGCTGAGTCTGATATTCATAGGTGAGGTTTCCCCATCCTGATTCACAAATTAAATAACTTAAAATATAGACTCTTTTTAGTGATAAATTTAGTTCCAATAAAGCAAGACTTCTTGAGAAAAATTATCCTGTAATGAAAATAATCAACCAATATAAGAAAAACATACATGGAGGTAAAATCATGATCATGTTGTTGAGATATGCCCATTTACAGTGGCAGGTGAGAATTTTACCCAACATGCTAAATGAGGATGTTAGGTTTGTCAGCTCTTGGATACCTTCTCTGTTCATTGATGATATTTTTGCAGCATGACTAGCAAAGATACCCAGCTTCTTTTATAGAATGGCCACCATCAAACTATGGGACAGACAATACTATTATTAATTACACTGGTTGCTTAAACTTGTGCAGACTCAAGGTTTCTTCTTTAGCTAAATTTTGATAGTTTCATACTCCAAATGGTTTTCTTTTAAAAAGCACTGGAGCAAACATACTCTCATGTAGTTTAGTTACATTCCTCATGCTTTCAATGATTAGGCCCATTTCCATACCCTAAATAAATAAATAAAAATCTCTGTCTTCTTTTGCAAACAGGCTAAAAGAGTTCCTAAAGGATGCATTTTGGACAATGGCTGCAGAAAACTCATTTTATAAAACAAAAACAATGCAGTACCTGGAACTATTTTTTTGCTAGATTTTGAGGCATATGTAACGATTCAAAGCCTAATACTGCACAGCTTCCTGTTCTCCAACATCCTCTAATATGGACAGACATCACAAAAAACTAAGACACAGATACTGGCTGGTTTCAAAGTATGAATTAGCTCTGGCCAAGTTGAGAAGACTTTTGAAGGGTAAAAAGGGATGCTTTTAACAGGAGGGAAATGCCTAGCGCATTGCTCGTGGGTGACAGCAGGGTATTTCTAAGCGCTGACATTTTGAGCAATAAGCTTTCTCAAAAAGTGCTGTAAGCGTGGCTGTGACACCACTTTCTTTAATGAACGTGCATCCTCCTCCTCGTCTTAAGTATTTCATCCCTTTTCCAAACTAAGCATCACCTTCCTTTGTGACTTTGGTGCGCTCTGATGCTCCCGCGTCCCCTCAAGTGAAACGCATGGTGTGAGGACATGTGTCTTCACCAGGAGTGGTTCTTCTCAGAGACACGTATCTCCAGAAATTCTGTCCATTTAGGACCCTGTCGCAACAGAAAGGGTTGTAGCTGATTCTTTGGAAAAATTAACATTTCCCAGTTTCAATAACTGTGTGGCTTCCGTTCCCATGGAAACAAGCAGGGCTTGCCACAAACATGGTCTTGCTTGCAAGTAACTGTGGGTTACCAAGGAAGATCTATGATGCACTAGATGACTGAAGGTTTTGGGTTTAATTTTCTTACTGAAATGCTAGCTTTGAGCTCAATAAAAGCATTTTTGGAGTCTACTCCTCTAAGTTCCCACCTTAAAGTTCGTACATTGTTCTATTCTTTGATTTTGTCCAATATCCGAGATCAATAGAAATGGTTGTTGGGTTTTCCTGTGTCAGATATCAGTCTGCCTCAGAAATAATTAAAATGCTGAAGCTCTTACGTGCAGTGCCAGAGAGCACTAGTCTGATTTATCGAGCTTATTAGGTTGAGTACTCCACTATGTGGAACAAAAAGCAGACCTTTCCAAAAGGGTCAGTATGAGATAAGAAATGCCGGAGTGGAAAACAGATAAACAGAGAAACTCAAGAAAACAGTGAAAACAAAACAGTGTCCAGCCTCGCTAGGCAGTGGTCTCAGTATTGCAATTAAACTGTTTTTCCGCTTTTATAGACATCACAGGAGAAGAGAGGATAAGGCATTTTGTGGGTATTCATGAGATGCGGTTCTTACTTCAGAAGAGAAAAGTTAAGTGATATGCCCATTTGCACACAGAAGATAAAGGTCAGAAAAGGAGATAAATTACAGCCTTTCAGGCTCCCACTTTTCTAGCCTGTTCACTGCAACAGCTTTCCAAGTTTTCTAAATATTTTCAAACCTAATAGCAAAAAAAAAAAGAAAAAAATAGGCAAAACTCACAAAAGTATATCCATTCAGTTATTTGATCAACATTGTCAAAACAAAAGGAAGTAAAATTGTTTTCCTTTGTAGGATTTTGAGCTGAACAATGAGCTGAAAATGAATGTGTTAAATTTGCTGGAAGAAGTTTTGAGAGACCCTGACCTTCTACCACAAGAAAGGAAAGCTACTGCGAATATACTGAGGTAAATATCTTTCTAATAATTTAGTATGTTAACTATAGCATGTGAAATAGGGGATCATGTATCATAGAGTTCACAGGGTTTGGTTTTTCTCCGGAGTATTTAATTTTGGAGGATTACTAGGTGTTTCATTAGCTATAAAAGAGAGTGTGTTTTAAGTTCATTCATAAAAATACCTGTATTAGAAAATTTTGCTGGAGAACAGCTGGCAGCCATAGGTTCAGTCTTTATGCAGCAGGGAAAAATGCTGCCCAGTAAAGCAACAAGACCACTCACTATCATACCTGAGGAGCTCGTATCTCAATAATGAGCCACCCACTCTGCTAAGCTCATGAGAGGCTGATGATAGCCTAACGTATCATGACATCCTAACAAGACCATGCTTGCACCTTCCCTTGTGTTGACACCATGTCCAAAGTTCTTTGAGTAGCTTACAGGGAGGAATTCTTGCTTTGTGCCATGAAATAAAAGACCTTTAAGCTTCTGCATAACCAGGACTATTTAAATTAGGGTCAGAACACCATAGTTTGTTACTTAGGTATTACAGAATTGAGTGTCTAGTCATGCCAAAGAGACAAATCTTTATATGCATTTATCAGTGAAAATAATTTTGTCTACTAAGTGTGAATATTTTATAGTAAATTATTTTCATGTAAGTTGTTCTACATTACTAAGGAGCAGTAAACATTTAAAGACTAGGCAGTTGTTAAAATAAGATACAACATAAAAACACAGATAAATCTATGACGCGCTTTGTTAGTATTTTTGTAAGTATTCTGCTGGAAAGTCAATAAGGGTGCAATAAATGCAGTGTGTCTGAATTTTCTAAGACCATTTGACAGGTTTCCCCATCAGATACTTACATGAAAAAGAATGTCAGAAGAATGAGGAGAAAGTTGTTGACCTGGAGGGAAAAAAGTCAAACAAAGGATAAGAAATGAAGACAAGTTCTTAATAAAAGCACTTCATGTCAATGGGTTCCTACTTAATTTTTACATAAATAAAAATAAACCTTTTAAATTATACTGCATGTACTGTTATTCAAAGTAAAAATAGTAAGTTTGTTTCATGTATTTCCTTGGAAGAAACAGCAAGCAAGAAGAGCAAAAAGGATTAGGATAATGGGGTTTAATAATACGTGTGACAGCAAAGGTTCTGTCAGATTGCTCTCAGGCAGAAAAATTACCTTAAGACCTTTAGCTTTTAAGAAAATAGGAGAAAATAAACCTGGATTGGCTGTTTCTGGCAAAGTAGTGGAACTGGATTGGCTTTCTGGCAAAGTAGTGGAATAGATTTATAGGCCTTTAACATACAAGTTTGTTAGCTGTATCCAGTTTCCAATTAGCCAATTTCCATTAGCTGTTGCATCAAAAAATGGGACCTTGGTAATTATGTGTAAACTGTGAGTTGCCCCAGTTTGCATCCTTTTACTGCTGTTCTATGAAATGGTAAGTATTGTTTGTCCTCTCTTTCCTTCTAGCACTTACTACTTTAGTATCTGAGCACACTGTATATACATCTGAGCACAGTGTATATTTCTTTTGCAAAAAAGAAAAAAAAAGGTTAAATTCTGTAAGAAGTGAAAATTCTGAAAAAGTTAAATTTTTTAAAAACTGAGAAAAGGGGAAAATAAAAAGCAAAAGGAAGGAGTAGTGAAATAAAACAATACTCAAAAATAAAATTCTAGTAAAAATGAAAAAATGTATGCATCGCAATGGAAATAAAAGTTAATTAAAAATCATCTCATTTAAAATATTCTGTAGAAACAGATTGCATTTTTTAAAATCCTTCTTTCATAGCCGTTATCCCCACAGTATTTCTGGAAAGTATTATGGCACTTTACAAGCAGGCAAGTAAAGCATGAATAAAATTACCTGTCCAAGTTCTCAGTGGGATTTTCTGTTGCAAACAGGTAGAGAATGAAGATTTCCTGAGATATGGTCCTCAGCCAAGCCATCTTTCATCAGGGTTTGCAGCTATATACCCTAATCCTGCCAGATTTTTCAAACATAGTTTGATTATAGATTGGGTCATACCAAACCATAAGTACTTGGTTACATCCCACAAACTAGCACTGAAAAAAGAGCCATTGGTGGCTCAGCATGCAGGACTAGTCCTTTTGACTGAATGCTGCATGGATGTCCCACTTTCCTTCAAAATGAGGCATGAAATTTAAGCCATGGCTAACATTGGTTATCAAAAATCCGTTACTGCTTTTCAAGACTGCCAATGCTGCTGGTGTATATGCATGCTGGACAATGCGTTATGTCGAATATTTCAATACTAATTCAATTTCAATACTATTTCAACACTAAGTCCCGTAAGCATCAGTGACACAGTATTGCTGTCCCAAGGTTTCAGAAAACTGCTGTGTTCCATTTTCTGTAGCAACCATATTTCAGTAGCAGCTGAAATTACTCCTATGTCCTATCCATGTGTTTATTATATACACAAACCACCCATAAACTTTCAAATAGAAGTTGTTGCATAAGTAAACTTTCAGATAGAAGCTGTTGCATAAATACAACTTTCATAATTTAAACTGTGGTTAAGCTGCAGTCAACAGGACATCAGGATATAGTCTCCAAGTTAAAAATGTTATCACATAAAACAAACTGTCCCAAAGTCTTACGCTGAGCCAAACTGTAATCTGAAGCTTCTGGGCTTGTTCTCCAGCCACACAGGAGGCAGTTACTTGCCAGGCATGTCAAATGCATTAACAGTTAGTTGGTAAGGAGAAATTAATTCTCCGGGAATGGGAACTGCTTCAGTAACCTTGTGAGAAGGAGTATATCGGCACAATTCTGATTTTGGACAAAAAATCATTCAGCTGGGATGAAATACACAAATGTGTCATATATCTCATCCTTTTGCTGAAAGGAGGAGCTCTAGTTCTTAAATCGCCTCAGGAAAATGGGTTGTCTGGTAATTAAGAGTAGTTTCCAAGCTTTCAAAAAGCACTGTAGTTATTCCTGAAGATTTATTCTCAGCAACGCTATATAGTTAACTGAGAAGAGGAAATTACAGGATTTAAGAAATAATCTGCAGTTGAATGGAGTTGTTTGTGTGTAACTACAGATCTGTGGTAATGACACAGGGGTGCGCGTTCCTTTACTCTTCCAAAAGCCTTCATTTTTATTGCACATTAGGAATATTTATAAGCTTTAAAAAAACTGATCAAGTTGCTAGTCCTAAGCAGTGACCAGCTGTCACATGGAGACTGTGAACACACCATTCTGGCTGCCTCAGGAACAGTCTCAGCTATTGGGGCGGGAAGCAGGAGTCCCTCTGGTCCTCCACTTATCTTGTTAGTGGATTCAGAGGTGGAACCAACTCCAGACTGTTCTTTAAAAACTTTACTTTTTAATAATTCAAAATATAAAACTGAGGAATAGTTTCTATCAGGAGGGTTTAGCTTTTCTGGCAGGTTGAAAAGGTCCTTGCTCAATTCTGGAGCTGATTTCATGAAGAATGAGAAACCAACAGAGGCAGAAGAGACAATATCCACATGCCTGCCTCCTATCTGACAATACAATTGTATGAACCCAGTTGGTAACCAGGTTTCTAGTGCCAGAAGAACAAAGTTTTTTCTATATTTGCACTAAAAACAAAGATACTGCTTCTGGTGCAAAAAGAGGACATGGTGACACGGAAATGGTTCTTTCCCTGACATTCTTGCCTGATGCCTCCCATGGTGCTATGGCTGGTTGTGGAAGTAGGTCAAAGCAAACATTGAACACGCTCTTCCCTAAGCTGGGAGAGTTTTCTCTGTTACTTGTCTCTGAAGATTACTATTTATTGTAGCAGGGACAACAAAGACTATGTTCCTCTTGACCAGCAACTGCTAAGCTTCAAGCAAATGCTCCCATACTGCACTGAGACATTGTGAAGAGGCACCATGTTCTACACCAATGTATCATTGTTTTCTTTTTTTCTGCATCAGATTACAGATTTTCTATCATTTGCCAACATGGCGGATTACAGTCAATGTTCTGAATGTTAAGAGAAGGCCTGTAATGGAATAAAGTTATTTCTTGAGTTCCTTGAACCATCCATAGGTTATAATGACAGGGTGAGAGGAAAGGGACTTCCTCTCTGCATTGACTGAGAAAAAATTCTTTGGTGGGACCCACTGTGTCTAACTGAAGCACCTAACCATGAAACAAACTGTAGACAGCTAATGAAGCACTCCTTCCAAGGTAACTGCCTATCACGAAGGAGATTCTGTCCACCAAAATTGTCTAAAATTAGGCATCGTGACTGTTCCTCCAGAGATCATAGAAGACACCTTCCTTTCTCAGACAATTACAGAACACAGGCAGTGACTTGCGGAGGATGTGAATCCCACCCTGGATGTCCTAAAGATCTAGAGTCTTTCTTGTTGTAGAAGTGTGTAGAGGTGCCCCCAGGTATTGTGTTCCTCTTTTGGTTCACGTGAATGGTTTGGAGAAATGTCTCGTTTGGAGAAATGCTACTCTGTCCATCACCACTACATACTCATCTCTTTGGAAGGATGTTATCTTTCTGGTTTTCTTCTAGATGGAGGGCATTTGTCTAATACTACATAGAGGATGGATATAAATTACCCACCTAGAACTGAAGAGCTTTTTTACTGTTATTAGAAATCAATTTGTTTGAAGACTTTTGACAGCGTTCTTTTTTACGTGGAAGCACAGATTTGTCATAACTGGAAGTTCTGATGAAACTTTCATTCAAAAGGCTTCCCTGCGACAGGATGAAAATAGGAAGGAGGGGTGAGCCAGTTGACATGCCCCTCATGATAATAGTCATTCACCCAATTGCTAGGTGAGTGTCATAAAATAGGCTTTTTAGTTGTTCTGAAGAGGTGCTTGCTGCAGGCTTTTATATCTTAAAGGCCTTGCCATATCAAAACATGTAGTCTATCAGAATTCCGGTTTGCCAGTCAACCCTCACTGTAGGTCCTGGCTTCCCCACATTTCAGTTTTCATAGTCTATTCTTGACTCTGAAAAATAGAGGAATTCAGAGCGCAGTTAGGAAAAGCATTTCTTATCATAAATTCATTGTTCAAACACTCGTTTAAGAAAGTTCATGCTTTCTGAGCCTACGTATGGGTATATTCCATGGACCATCTCCTTGAAGGATATTTGGTACAAATATCTCTTTTTACAAACTGACCTAGCCTTTGAGTGTATGTGCACATATGTGCATATAAATTTCTTGGAAAATCAGTCCCTTTGTCAGCAGAGATTAGAGGAGGAGGAAAGGTTGGTTTGTATTCCAAAGATGATATGGTCAGCTCTGGGAAAGACTCTGTGTAGAATATGAATGGCAAGGAAAGTGTTTATGAGAGATACTGAGCTGCTTCATGCCTTCTTGAGTCATCAAACAGAACAGCTGGTATTCCTTGCGTGATAAGATTTTTGTTGAATGGACTGACAGGGTTTCTCTGCAGGGTAAAAAAGCTGCTTTTTCTTTTTATCAATATCTGTTCTGAAAGCTATGCAAACCTACTGAAGTATGTTTTGCTTGAGATTTTATCAGCCTTATTTACTAACCCCTGAAATCTAGGTAAAATTTCATTGATGGTGAAGCAGGAAGATGTAAAGTTCAGACTGAACAGCAGTGAATAACTTCGATAAATAGTCCTATCTGGAGAAAAAAAGGGTGGTTCAAGAAACAATTCCTCCTTCTTCTTCCTCAGAATAAATGTAAATGAAATCCAGGAATATGCAGAGGTCAAAATTTGATGGATGACCAATTTTCTGCCTTGTATGATCTCACCAGACAATACATTTCAGGCTCTATAATTTACCTCAGCTTTTAAAATATTTTATATACCATAAAGGAATGAGGAGACAGATGTTAATATTTTCTACTAGAAAATTATTTTAATATTTGGACTGGTCAAGCATGAAGAATAGCTTAAGTGAGAGAGAGGTCTAATCTTAGCTGCTGACTCTAAGAATTAGAAAATCATTTATTGTATATTTACTTCCTTCATTTGTAAGGGTAACGATGGAGGTGTCACCCCATTCAGTCCTCCCTGAGAGGGATACTGTTAAACAGTCCGGCAGAATCTCTCCTTACCTTTGCTTTGTCTCATAACTGTTTTCACATTTACCTGTGCTTCTTACCCAGCTTCCAGGAGGCTCTCCAAGGAGTGCAACGGTAACTCCCCAAGCAGAACTGACCAGCTCAACATATCTTCCTAGATCTCTCTTAAAACTAGGTATCCCAAAGCTGACAACAGTGCAGACTGAAGTGGAAGCTACTATTGATGCTATCAAAGAGTAGCTTTATCCAGTCTAGAGATGTGTTGTCCTCTGCAGGTTTAAATGTAGAGCAATTATGGATAAAAGGAGAATTTTTTTAATGGGACCACCGTGTTAGAGAAAAAGCACCAGTAACCTCTTTAGAATGAGGGATTGGAAGTCTACATAAAATGTGAGATGTCATGTTAGAGAGTATCAGGAAGCAAAGATGGAGAAAAGTTAGGTATTTTTAGCCTTTTAAGAATCTCATGTTTCCTGTTTTATTTTGTATTAAGCAAATACAATCATTTCTGTATCAAAGATGAGAACTCCAGGCAATATAAAGTTATACGTAAGGAACTCAAATGATGAGTTTACAAGATTACTGAGAATACTTGGGGCAGAAGGGCAAGTCCTCTCTTTCTTTTATTGCCAGGAAGCTCATGCTCTTGTCTACAGTGAACAATACCTTTCTGCAGGCAATCAGTCATGAGATACAGCACAAAATAAGCTGCTCAGGAAAGACAGATTGCCAGTGTATTTACAGTTACTGAGGCCGCACACTTATTATCTGGAGAAGAAGCCTAGGGTTTTCCTGAAGAAGTAGACATTCAAGACTTGGCACAGCTTGCCCATCAGACATAAAGTGTTTCCAACTCCTATGAAGAAAGGGGCATTTTGTGTGGATTTGATAGGCTGAAAATGAAGGCAAGGAGGTTTTGTAGGTCCTTTGTGAATCTGCATTTGATTTTAACCTAGCCCTCCAACTTGGCAAACCAAAAGGAAACAACAGCAACCCACAACAGAAGAACCTAGTGTACTAAGCATTAACACTTCCTCCCCACCCACATAGTACAAATTCCGTATCTTACACTCATAGCTAAAGTCTCCAGGCAATGTAATTCTTTTCTTTTAACCCTTTCCCCAGCTGGTACACGGAAAGTCTGTTACTGCAGAGTGCAAAAATAAAGAATTGGAGGGACCATGAGAAAATACCTGCTATGCTTTCTGGAATGATCAGTAGAACTGGATCTTCTTTGAAAATGGTCATCTAAACTTTCCTTGAAAATTCAGCTGATGAGTATTCTACAACTTCTGCAGAAAGCCTGTTTCAGTGCTCACTTATACTTGGAATTGGAAAAGTGAACTTAATGTTGAAACTAAATCTCCCCTGATGCGAATCGGTCCAGTGACTTCTTGCCATATCATTGGTGTCTTTATAGGCAGTCTTTTATGTACTGACATACTGTTCTTTCTCCCTAAATCTTCTCTTTCCTATATTGTACAAAGCCAGTCTATTCAAGGTTTCTTTGAGTCTGTATTTTCCAAATGAAGGGGTAAGATCTTAGAATTATGTGCCAAGACACTACATCAGGGTAGTATATAAATAATCACAGGTTTTCTATAGCAGAATTGGAAGCATGGATTAACACTTGTATTACTGAAAACAAATCATGTACTTGCTACAAGTAAAATCTGCTAGCAGTTTGTTGTCTATTTCCACACTCACAGCTCTTTGTGTGGAATATTGAATAGGACAGTGTAGTGCCAATAAACAAGAACACTTCCCAGTGAATCACTCTTTTATGCATGCCTATTTTGCTGTCTTTTCTTCACTTCTCAAATGTTGTTTTTTCAAACATTTCCCCAAAATATCATTTAGCACGGTAGTTTAAAAATCAGAGAAAAGGCTTGAGATGTAATTTTCCACCTTTAGGTTTCCTAGGGCTATTCAGGATAGAGAGCTTTTGATTAAATAATATTGTTATTGTGTTGTGTTTTTGTGTTGCCAGTCCAGTTCTTGAAAAGGGAATTTTCCTTTGTCCACCAAACTTCTTTGCACTAAAGTCAAAGTGGCATAGATGTAGAAACCTTATCGCTATAATCAGCAAATAAGTACAATAGTTATTGTCATTGACCATTCTACAGTATATGCTGTTCTTAGCTCAGAGATGTTAAGCCTCCGTGACCATCATTTTACCTTACGTGACTCTGATGTTGTACCATTTTGTACGCTTTTACTTAAAACAAGACATTAGATTTTAGGTACCAGATTTTTTTTTCTTTACATCATCAACTGCAGTCTTAGGATTTATTTTAGATAAACATGAATGCCTATCTGTGATAAGGTTTTCTCATAACAACCATAGACTTTATTTATAAAGGATGTTCTGCTACTTAATTTTTCAGGGCTCTTTCTCAGGATGATCAAGATGATACCCATTTAAAAATAGAGGACATCATTCAGATGGTAAGTTCATCTTGAAATTTAAACATAAATACTCCTATAGAAAGGTTGTGGGTTTAAGTCAATAAAACATAGCACAACTGCAACTTTACAACTCTGGACAGAAATACTGTTCTTTTATATCAGGAATGTACATTTCAGTTTAGAGAAAGTAAGAATTTGGAGCCCGTATCAAAGATGAACAGGTCAAAACTTTAGGATTTGGATTTAAATCACGATGGAAAAAAAAAAAGGAAAGATATTAATATATATGAAATGATGAGTGTCTGCCATCTCAGCTGCCATCAGAACCATAGCTGGCCTTGACTGGCAATGCCCATCCTCCAACTGTAGTCACCTCCATCTCATAAGTGCATTGCATTAATCCAAAGAAGAGTGTGGGCAATGAACTGGGTGCAGAGTGGTTATGTGGAAAGTAACGCAGAATACAGACTTGACGTACTTACTCATGACTTGGTATGTGCCTGTTTTCCTATGAGTTTCCAGCCTGATGTTTACCCTTATGTTGTTAGCAATTTTTCTTAATTCTTATTTCTTTGTAGCAAAGAAGTTAATTACAACTCTGTGTTGAAAGTCCTTATGAAGTTCTTAATACACTGTTCTTTGAAATGTCCTTTGGTGCAAAAAGAGATCATTAAGTGTTCTCCTTATTTTTGCAGTCAGATTGTCCAAAACCAGAGTGCTTTGAGACTTTGTCGGCCATGGAGCTTGCAGAGCAAATAACTCTCTTAGATCACGTAGTTTTCCGAAGCATACCGTATGAGTAAGTGTTCTCCTACGAGTGACTGAAGTGAGTACGGTGGATGAGTTACTGACTGGCAATGTTAGGCACTACACTAATTCATGCTACTGACAAAAAGGTTTGCATACATAACAGGATAATGTCCTTCGGCTGTTTGTATCATTGCCTCTGACTCCCTTGTAGTTTGATCACATTTTGAAAGACTGAGTTCTTAGCTAGGAAAAAAAATCTGTGATCTGAGGCTCTGGACTAGTGAAGGGTGAATATAGTCTGGAAGTGCTGAGTCTCTAGGGAGAGAGTGTCAAATCAGCTTCATTCATACAGCAGTTTAACATGGATATAACCACGTAAGCTGACAAGACCAATTTCAGATAGGGTCACAATGCTGAAAATTGGATGGGGGGATTGGGAGAGGGGATTAAAAGAAAAATAAATTTTCTTTATAGTATTTACTGCTTCAGACAGCATTAAAAATGGTACAGTGAAATGCTGAAATTAGTGTAAAGCTGTGTTACTAGGTTCTAACAAAATGAGGTATACTTGAAATCCCGTTAAGCTACGGTTACAGACAGACACTCTGTACGGTGTATATTAAGGGCATTTTTGTTTGTTTTTTTTCTCTCCCCTCAATGTCTAGAGAGTTTCTTGGGCAGGGCTGGATGAAAGTGGATAAAAATGAGAAAACACCCTATATTATGAAAACTAGTCAACATTTTAATGATGTAAGTACTCTTAAATATAGATTGCTTTCTAGGAACTATTTTGACACTGTCTATGACCTCTGCAACAAGAATATCTTTTTTTTTACAATGTGATGTAACTTCTTATCTAGTAGTAACTGAATGTTACAGTCTTTTTGTGATTAACCTTTTAAATCAAAGCACATGAAGATTCTCATTTTCAAGAATTGGTACTGAGCATTTCAATGGGAATTTAATAGAGTAGAACATTTTAAACTGTGCTACAATGCCTTGTTGCTTACAGAAGAAACTAATTTTTCTCCAGAGGGTGAAAATATAACACCAATTCTATTTAATGAATGCCCTTTGTATCCCCAACCATATCTTTGCTCTTTACCATTTTCCTTGAATTTTACTGAGAGTCTTCCCAATCAGTTTTATTACTGTTGGCTTGGAGATACTCCCCATTGCATTTCTTACCCTTCTTTCATATCATCATTCCCCCAACTTCCCTACAACACTGTTCTCAATATGCTTTCTCTGGTTTTATTAAGAGCCATGAGTTCTGTTGTGCATTAGTTTTCTTCTGCTTTGTTCATTAAATAATTATATGTTGAAAGGGATTATATTTAAATGTCCTAAATTTCTTCCTCTTTGTTTGGTCAGATGAGTAACCTTGTTGCCTCCCAAATCATGAATTACACTGATGTCAGCTCCCGGGCTAACTCAATTGAAAAGTGGGTAGCAGTAGCTGATATCTGTCGATGTATGCACAATTATAATGGTGTGTTAGAAATCACGTCAGCCTTGAACAGAAGTGCAATCTACAGACTTAAGAAAACTTGGGGTAAAGTATCCAAACAGGTAAGAAAGATACAATTACAGTATGGTTTCTAGACTTCACTGGTCAGTGTGTTCAGAAAACGACGAGTTGAGATAGGATTCCTTCCATAAATATTTCTACTTTTACAATACTCTGACTATTTGCTGGAAACACCAAGTAGTACTGGTATTTCATGTCAAAGTATTTTGTGTTTCACTTACCCTTTTTTTGGTATCATTAATTAAATATCTGTAGGAACAAACTGATTTCAATGGGACTAGCAGGTGCCTAAGCCTAACGACTTGAGCCTGAAGTACTGAAATATTTGCAAGAATTAAATTTAGATATTTTCAGATATACACATCTAGGTGGTTACTAGCTATAACTATAGCCAGCTCAAGTGCCTCAAATAGGAGCTGTATTTCCCTGCCTGTGCAGAAAGTTGGTAGAAAGATCAGCATTTCCTCTCAAGGTGCTGAGTTTTTTGCTACCAAGTAAGAGACCGTAGACAGCCAGACCTCTTTCTCATTTAGGTGCCTAAGTTCAGATGCAGTGAATATCTCCCTTTAACCCTTACCTTGGTGCTGAGACTGTCAGCAGCATGGCTGAGCCTGTGAGAATGGCTGCCAATAACAAAAATAAGACACAAAAAAAAAGATTAGCCACTCTTTTTTAGGGAGTTGGACTTGATGATCCTTATGGGTCCCTTACAACTCGAGATATTCTGTGTTTCTATGATTTTATGTTCTCTGTTTTAAATGTTTTGGAGAAATTGGTTGAATGATTTAAATCTCAGGTTTCTGCTATTTGAAAAAAAAAAGTATTTTAGTATGGTGGAATAACAGAGCAAGGAGGTCAGTAGGACAGAGCCAATCACTTGTAAGTTAGGCAGTATTTGAATACAGGGTTTACTCCAGCTAATTGGAAGATTTCAGATTGCCCTTTTTAGATCTGGCTAATTGACATGCAAAAGGTGGGCTTTTATCATTGCATTCCCTCCTCCATATGTTTCTGCAGCTTTTGCAAAGCACTCAAGGAGCCCAAGCAATGAAATCCACTTAGAATACATTCTGATTGCAGTGCCTTCTTTCTCCAGTCAGCTTTTTCTCAAATGCTTTATAGCTGGTGTTATGTTTTTTTATTTTAAAATATGATAAAAATCCTTTCAGTACAAACTGTTATATAAGAGTTCACCTCCAAGTTTTATGTTTAGAATTTGTTTGATTTTTAAACTTCTCAATTTAAAAAAAAAAAAAACAACAGATTAATGTTGTTGCACAGTTCTCCAGTACTTATTGGAAATGTAATCTGCGTGTTTCATCAGCCTGCTATTTAGAAGAAAAAGAAAGTGCCTGCTTCTGCCTACAGCTTTCTCTTAATTGGTAATTCAGTTTCAAATATGACAAATTTCTCATGATTCTCTATACTGTCTCAAGTCTATAGCATAAATAGACTGAAAAGCAAATTTATTTTGCTTACGAAGTAACCAGGCTCTGATGATGCCCACTGAAAGTAATTTGTGTAGGACAGTAATATATTTTCAAATACATATTCAGCTTTTATCAGAAACTTGGAGGCAAAACCAGCTTAGTGCAAGCTGCAAGGCAGTAAACATCCTTTACTGTCACTAATTTCAGTAAACGCAGCTGAAGATCCTCAGCAACATGTACGATCAAGTCTCTAATATTCTTGTATACATGGTAAACTGAATTGCTGACCATTAATTTAATGAACTTGTGTTTTTTCCTAAATTTGCAGGCTAATCATATTAGCACAGATACAGATTCTGTATATCACTCAAAGGAAAATCTTTAATGCTGCCTAATCGCCATCTTCAGAAATACACTAGGAACTACAATGAAGCTAAATTCCTAATGCCTATGTTATTACTTTTGAAAATGGGGTGAAGATGCTAAGTGAATTATACCTTTTCTAAAAACTAATCGCAGTCACTTATGTGAAACAGCAGTGACATTTGCAATGTATTTTTTTTCTAGACAAAAGCTCTCATGGACAAGCTTCAGAAGACTGTATCATCTGAAGGAAGATTTAAAAATCTTAGAGAGACACTCAAAAAGTACGCTTTCCTACACCATACAGTTGTGTTTTGTTATAAGCAGTGAATAGTACATGTTAAAGATTAAGTGGCTTTGATTAAGCTTTAATAATTAATATAATACTGGATAATATTTTTACCTAATAACTTTTTAAATTCTAGTTTTATTCTATTTGACATTATTGTTTTGCTGAATATCCCATGATTTAGTACACCTGATAAATAAATGAGGTATTTCCAGAGAATTACTGAAACAAATCAAACTATTATTCTGTGTGAATGTTCCCTGTTGGGGTTTTACTTACACTGATAAACTTTTTCAATAAGTGTGAAGCCAGGTTTATAAATAAAAGTTCATATTCAAAAACAGGATTCCAGAGAGTCCTTGTTCCAGATAAGAAGTTTAGGGCTTAAGAATAAGCTTGAGTCAGATCAAAGTTCCAGTCACCCCTTTATCTTTTTTGTGACAGTGGCCAGTAGCTGATGAGAGGAACATAGGAACAGGTCAAAGGCACAGTGATACTTCCTCTCCTATACCCTCCCAGCCCCCTGTAGTCTGCCACCCTGGAAAACAGCCTGGGTTTTTGTACCGTAGTACTTGAATAATTTTTTCTTTAATTGATTTGCCAGATTGTGTTTGACTGTATGTAATTTTGGTATCCAAAATATCCTGTGGCAAGGGTTCTACAATTTATGTACTGACTCCAACTGTATGCATACAAAACCTGTATTTTTGCAAGTTCTGTAATTAGAAGTGGGCTTTCCAGGATTGAGTAGTACAACTACTTTAAATGATCTTGAGAGAAGCAGGAATAATTGCTGAAATGTTTCAAAATATACATAGTGCAAGTTAGTCAATTTTTACTTTAAAAATGTTGTGGGGGAGCTAATCACTTTTTTAAAAATGTTTTTACTCACAATATATGAACAGGTACTTTTATACATCTTTCAGTTAATATATTGCTTGCCTGTGTACAACAATCATCCTCATAATACAAAAAATACCCAGAATGAAGTGCACTGCTAAGCATAGTCAGCAGTCTGCCTAAGTTAACAGCACAGCCATCACCCTGCATTTTTCTTATGCCAGAGCTTCAGAAAACCAAGCTTGCTACTATTTCTGCTGAGGCAAGAATCAGTGAGCATGGAGCACTGATTATTGCATTCGGGAAGCAACAATCATTATCCCATTCCTGCTGTCCCTCCAAGAAAAGAAAATCCCTAGTCTCTAGAGTCTGTATTCACAGTTTTCCAGACCGTCTTTGCTACCTCTCTGTCGTCCTCTTTCTCTTTGTGTTCACTGTTGAGAAGGCCTGAACAGACTTTGACAGAATGGTATATACATACATACACACACACACACACACACACGTATATACATGCATATATCATATCATATGTGTATGTATGTATAAGTAGTGTATATATATGCATGTATATACGTATATATGTATATATCTCCACATGTGCACGCACACACTCATGCATATATCCATACATATGTGTATGTATGTATAAGTAGTGTATATATATGCATGTATATACGTATATATGTATATATCTCCACATGTGCACGCACACACTCTCTCTTGCACACACACCCACCCTTGTTATACTAGGATGCTTACACGACTGCAGAACACCAACCATGCAGAAGCACATCCACGTGCATTTTTAGCTTGTGTGTAGGATCTATTTCAGGGATTGTCTGTTAGCCAGGATTGAAATACGCTTAAAGGTGTTCTCTGAGTCCAGAGTTTACCTGTCCTTCCTCTCACTCCATCACGTTACCATTCTACCTTTTACTAAAGGTTTTCTGCCATTAATATTAGATATTGGACAGAATACATTCAATTTGTCACAGGCAGAGCAAATACAACACAAGTGAAGTCAGAGAAGCTGTTTGTCTTAGAAATGAATGTAACCCATTGATTAGAAGTATGTTAAGTAATAGTTTGTGTGAATTATAAAAAAAAACAGTTTGTAAATTTAGCTACAGGTAAATACGCTGATTTCTTGTTTCACAGTTGTAACCCACCTGCTGTTCCCTACCTTGGAATGTACCTGACGGACCTGGCATTCATTGAAGAAGGAACACCAAACTTCACTGAGGAAGGCCTTGTCAATTTTTCCAAAATGAGAATGGTAATTTTCAGTTCCTTATACACTTTCCCAACAGGTGTTTAATTGTGTGAGTTAATTATTGATTTAATTACAATTCCTTTGAATTTAACTTCTAAGATGCACAAGTATATTGGCACCATGCAAGATAGGTAGCTATTTGAAAGCAATTACTTGACCCAGTCTTCTATCACCACCTTCTGGTAAACTGAGTATTTTTACAGGGTGAATTTGCTTCCAATTTGTTCTTTGAGAAGTGAGAGACAGAAAAAGCAGCTGTCTGAAGCTCATGAAGGAGCAACAAAAGGCTTTTTGAAATAACCAAAATTAAAGGAATGTAGTGATTCACTAGAAAGCAGTAATCACAATCTTCTTTTCAAGTGTGCTAGGGTCTATCTAAAAAAGCATTTTAAAGTTGATTTCTCTCCAACTGCCATGTAATGTTGTTTTGCAACAACTCCTCAGAGGGAAGCATGGAAATTTCTAATCTCAGCTTAATACCCTTCTTATGGCTACACATCGCAGCAGTCACTGCAGGCAAAGAGAAGAGAGGTTATCAGTATGGGGAGAGGAGAGACAAGGTGGTTCACTTGAGGCTGACCGAACAATAAATGGTTAATTTAGGAAAGTGACATCCTTGGAAGCCATTAGGAGATGATCTCTGCTCTTTCCTTCCCTCCTCCCAGGATAAATTGCATAATTTGGTGCAAAATTCTTGCCTTATGTGGCTTAGCTGAAGTCAAAATGACATTGTACTTACTCATATACATGTATTCTTTTGAAAGATCTCACATATTATCAGGGAAATACGCCAGTTCCAGCAGACCTCCTACCGCATAGAGCATCAGCAGAAGGTAAGGCCCTTCTTAGGCACTGTTACCTACTACTGAAATCAAAGCTGTGGTAGCAATTAGTTGTAAGATACAGCTGTTGCTGAAAGCTAAAATGAATGTATTCTGCTCCCACACACAGAGAGGAGAGGACAGACAGAAATATGGACAGGTACTCTGGGGCCTCACCCTGGCAGAAACTATCTGACACTATATATAGAAGCAAGTTTTTTCCTGCTTCTCTGGAAGCTCTCTTGGGATTGCAGCCTTCATGGGTTTTGGGTACAAGGGAATGGGTTCAAAGGGAAATGTGTTCTCCCTGCCCAGTTGGAAGTGTAATTGCCCAGGGAATCCCAGAATCCTGGGATTAGGGAACAGGAGATGGCCCAAGCATCTGCTGATGCTGTGTGCATCCTGCAGTTCTTTTCCCCTTGTCCCTCAGGAAGCGATGAAAATTTGGCCAAAGCCAGTCTGTGCCTTCAGAGAAGATTTCCTCTCAGACTCCAGAAGAGCAACGTGTGGTTAGGTAACCTGGCTAAGGACTTGGCCATTCCTAAGAGGCCGTACTTGATTCCTGGAGCGCTGCTGGTGCAGCTTTACACCATTCAAACGAGCCGTTGTGTTTCTCAAGAAAAAAACGTGAGGGGATCTTGGGACCTGAAACGGGCTGAAGGGGAAAAGGAAAGCAGAGAAATTTTTGTGGAAGTAACATCCAGTCTGTTCATCTGTGTTTTCTCCATTCCAGGTCACTCACTATTTACTTGACAAGACACTCATCATAGATGAAGATACGTTGTATGAGCTTTCCCTAAAGATTGAACCCAGACTCCCTGCCTGAAGAGCCAGCTTCGCCTCAGCGTCTACAGAAAGCTTTAGTACAATGAACAAAATCATGCATGCCAAGTCCTAAAGACAGCAAGGGAAATATCGAGAAGAATGCAAGCTCTCTTTTCCAATAGGAGATACGGAGCCTCACAGCATTTCCCTCTCAGGCAACGAAAATGAGCATTGGAGGTGGAGGACAAAGATGCCTCTTACCTGGATTAAGTGATTGCTGCTTTGCAAAGATAATGGTTTGCAGTAGGGACTATGCATTTAATGGAAAATAGGAGACTTTCCTGTGAACGGGTAGTAATTGTAGCCATCTTATGTGACAAATTAAGGGGACAGATTTAAATGGTGGTAATATACTCAGGTATATTAAGATAAATGAGCAAAATGAGATGGCTGTGATGTGGTCTGGGTTGATGGCTAACTATGCGTTCACTGAGGCAGTAATGCTAGTGGTGTCCTCATATTGTGTTAACTCCATTGAAAAAACAGGATCTTAACAGTCATCTACTATCTTGGAGTGACATTAAGGTAGCATCTAGTATCTTCAGATCTGCGGTTGTTCAAAATACCTGCTATACATTTAATACTACCCTTTATAAAGTGTTACCTTCTTTAAATGTCTTGTCAGCCTTTTCTAAGGTGACTGATTTTACCTATAAATGAACTGTAAATATTTTTTCATTAATACACAATGAGAGTATTTACAGCATGGAAAGCAAATGAACTAGTTGAATAGCTGTAAATAGTTGCCAGCCTTGCAAGCTTCAGCTGGGAAATACAAGGTTAGGAGCTATACCTGAGACTTGAGAAATCTGGACATAGAGTGAATTGGATGGTTAGCCATGTTGCACACAGCCCTGGAAAAGGCACTTTATTTTTCTGCACTTCCTGCAGCTTCTCTGACAAGTCAGGCTACAGAGCACTTTCTGGACACACTGTGGAGAGAAATACATGTCTGGTCTGGCAATGGGTAGTGATCAGCAATGAACACTAGGAGTTGGAGTGACAGTTTCGTTTTACGTGGAATCGGTGGTTTGAAAAATGTCTATTTTTTTGTTCCAGTGCCATTCGGCAATGACTCAGCTCCAAAATTGTTCAAATCAGTGGCAGACTTTGAATGCCAGCAAACACAAACTATATATTTTTATCTGAGCTAGTAATTATCATCTGCATATGGGCATATGTTTAAGAAAATGTGCTATTTGTAAATGTTTTCAAAGCCTATGCTTTTGTGACGTACCAGGTAGATAGATGTCATTTCTACAGCTAGTTGGTACTTCCTAAATTTTCCTGATCAAGAGTGGCCTGTTGTAGCTGCATGGAAAGTGAGCTCAATGCATGCTGTAAAGTGCATCATAGCATAAAATGCAGGTATTAGCACTGTTGAAAAAAATTGGCTGGAAAAGTGTCCTTACTTTTCCAATGATATTCAGCCAGTTGAAGAAATAGGGCTATATCACTGTATACCTCCCTTAAATCCTCTCAGGGAGACAGATGTTTAAAATAGATTGTGACCTAGGCCTATTTGATCTAACATTTCTTACCACAGTCATGATGCTTCTTAACGCTGGCAATGAAAAACGGATCTGCCTGGCTTGTGGGTTTTGTCCTTATTTGCACTTTATTGTATTGCTGGCCCAGCCCAGAGCTGCATAATAAATTCCATTTGTTCTGTCTGAGTGTAACTGCTAGCATTTATAAATGTACCTTAGCAACTGTAAATTTCATTAAGGTTCTTCACCACAAGGACCATCTCTTTGTAAATAACTGCATGAGGAAACATCACAAATACGAGAAAATTCCTCGATCAGAAAAGCAGATAGCAACAGAAAAGAAAATTCCAGAAACATTTTAAATAGTTCTGGCTAATGATTGCTGTAGAAATGAACACGGAAAATGTTACTTACAGAAGCTTTTTATTGTCAAAAATGTGCTTGTTCTTTTCACTAATGACTGACAAGAAGCTGATTGCATCCCAATGCATGATATGAAAAAAAAAAAAGCATGGCTTATTTGGACCACAGAACTAACTTACTGTGTATTTTCTGTACAAAAGCAGTTACTATACACTAATTCCATAAAACACTTTGAAGTAATGAAGAAACAGGGGAAAAGTGGTCCAAAAAGTGATTTCTTAACTAGGTTTTATTGTTTCTCTGTTAACAAGGAAAATGTGTAACTGTCAGTGTCAATTGGCATCTCTGTTGTATACTACTAACTGCTGCTTTATCTGCCTGTACCCCATTTTACCAAACTTCCTCGATGTTCTTAGGGTTACAGGGTACAATTCTTCATCTTACTCTTTTCACAGTTTGTTGGTTTGTACTTTATGTGTGTGTATCTGTTCTTCAGTTTCAAAACATTCAATGCATTTTAACGCTTGCAATACGCAGGGGTGGTGCTGTGCTTATGCTACAATATTACAAACGGACAGAGAGGAAGACAAAGGGTTAGACGTGGATTTTTTCAAAGGTGCTGAGCATCCATATCTTAAAATCAGTAGACAATGTGGTAGTTCAGCCCCTCTGGAAAAGCATATACTATTTATATGCCAAAAGTTACCTCTTGGGTCAGTGGCACAATTTAGATTAGAATCACTAGAGTAAATAGATACTTGATTTGTGTTCAGAGCAACAAAAAACCAAAAAACCAAAAAACAGGTTATGGTCATGGTAATGTTTGATTTGCTGATGACTAATACTAGTCTTTTTGGTTGGGGTTACAATGCATTCATTAAAATACAGGAGATGACTGCTCAAAGAAGTGAGCATGCATCTTGTTATCCACAACCCCAAACAGCGTTGCAACCCTAACCAGAGCTGGAAACAGCTGTTCTGCCGAAATCCTGCACAGCGAGTGTAGAGCGGTGTGTCTGCCCCGCAGTCGGGTTGTGTACTTCACGTGTAAGTGGCCTGAGTGCCTCTGCTACAGTACTGCTGCAGTGTTTGAGCTATGGCAGCAGTTAGTAGGCAGCAGCAACCTGCTTTATGTGAGGCTTTGCCTAGTACATCTATAGCTAGTGCAGCGATCTCCCTGTACAGCGCACAGGGATTGTGGAGCTCTTCGCTACCGGCTTCTCTTTGCCACTCCACCACAGCCATATAATATATAGAGATAGAAATCCCAGTCATAAAACACCCACTGTTTGCCTCTGGTGTTTTAGGGAGGATGTCTCCAAGTGAGGACTTTGTCATTTGGATCTTGCTGTCTTTTAGGATCTTGTCCATTATAGCTTTTATGCCGTGGAAGCAGAGCAGACTTGCTTTTCTACAATTGGAGCTGAAAAAGCCGAGCTGATTCAGGATTCATAAGAAAGAGAAGGGTTGAAGCGCCTATTACTTGCCTTTTTTAGCTCCTCAGCACTGCTGTGCCGGTCAGATGCGACAACAGTTCTCATGTTGGAGGGGCTGCTCCCTTCAGCACTCTCCAGACAAAAACGCCTCAGGGTGTACGGGCTGGCTAGCTGCAATGGGGATAGCACATCTCACCCACTGGTTCAGCAGTGGGCACATTTGCCAGCAAAGTCCGAGGGGAGTTTTGCAGTATTTTTTTATTGCATAAGTAGCAGCCTGGATTCAGCCCGTAGTTATCTCGGAACCTGGGCAGCAGCACAGACACGTCCCCTTCCATGTGACAGAGAGCACTTGTCACACGCTGATACGGGGTTAGAGTTGCCTTCACCCCAGCCTTCACTCCCCCCTGTCCCTCTTCACCCCCCACTAAATTCGCCAGTATTGTTAGTGGACTGAGCCTGTGATTAGTCATCGTGTGGAAGAAAAAATAGATCCGTTGAATTTACAGTGGCAGTAAGTGTATATTCTGTCCCTTTCTTTCGGCTAGTCCTGTAACACACAAACGCGTAGCTTAATAGTGAGAGATGATACTGGGACTGATCACCCGTATTTAAAAGTAAGGAAGAGGTCTCCATCCTCTTTCTGCTTTCCTAGTTCTTAATACTGATTATTGTTCTGTAGGATAAAAAGGAACTTAACTATTTAAAATATTTATTAACTTTAACCACGTTGATTTTGGTTTCAGGACATGTTCATTATCCCAAACTTTCCTTTGTAATCATTATTTATTTTAAGGGTTTTACAGAAACATTGTTTTATTTGTATCAATATTCAGTCTTTCCTCCTTTCACTCTTATCAGCAACATTAAACTTAGATATATGATTTAAAATTCTCACTGATAGAGACATTTTTACCCACTCATAATTGTTATTCATTAAGGGCAAAATCCTTCAGACCTCATTCTGATAATACCTTAGGCTTCACTGAGAGCTTTTCATAAGTAAGTATTTGGGGATCTGGCTCTCAGCTATTTGCCTGTTACAGTTTTTGCCTCCAAAGGTCAAATGTCTCTGTGTAGGATGCTTTGTGTCCAATACGCTGCTCAACTATGGTTGTTTTGTTGTACCTTTACTTTTGAAATAGTCTCTGAAGTTTTGTTCTTTAGGAGAATAGATGTATGTTTATTTGACAGATGTACCTATAACTAACATGTTACTTAGTGCACAATCCAGACGTTTTTGCATGTATTGTAACTTATCTTTTGACCTGAGGTTATTGCTTTGTATTGTTAGTAAGGCATATCAGGCAGGGTGTTGTGCCTATATGCTAATTAAACATTCTTTTTTTTCCTGAGTTTCAAGAGTCCTTACTGGTATCTGTTTAATTTTTTACCCCCCAATGGTGAATAATTAAATCTACTCCTGAATTACTGAGTCTTTTAGAGAAACATGGGAGCAGAAGGGACAAGCCATGAATAAGAAGGGCAAAATCAGAGAAAATTCTGAGTCTCTTTACTGGGAAAGAATGGTTTGAATTACTGCATTTTATTCTTTGTTCGCTCATGCTGCATTGCAGCTGCTGTGGGCATCATTGGGAATCATGCTGATTTTAACTTGGAACAGAGAATGAAGCCTACTTCATATACCACTAGAAATGCTGATCCGCTGTGAAGCGTACAGCATAAATAACTAAATAAGACATGTAACAGATTAAACTGAACCAGCCACACAACTCATTCTTCTTCAGCTGAGGAAAGCCTCTCCCCTTCCACACCTTTATTCCCTTTATAGGAAGGTACAAGTAGGTGGAGTTTAAATATAATTTCAGAAGGTGTTTAAGGACTTCCCATTTCAATAGAATATTTCTCTAGGCAAAAGGCAATGAATTATATAAATAGTAAATAACATTGTCCCTAACTTCTTTATCCTGTTGTTTTGGGTTTGGACTTTTGTCTAAACATCCCTAGCCTTCTCTTGGCTGGTTTGCTGCCCTGGATTTAAAGAAATAGTATAGCCACATCTTCTACCCAAGTAAACACAGAAAACATTTTGTAAGTATGGTATGTCCCTCCTCTTACGATAGGAAAACAAGTCACACAGAGATAAAATGACTTGCAAATTGAAGCAAACTAGTTAATAGAGCTTAAGACTACAAAACAGGTCTCCAGCTTCTGCTATATGCTTTAATCACTGTTTACTGCTTTCCTTTGCTGAACTGGGTAATTTCTTCAAGATAGATGCCTGTTAAATTTGTTTCAAAAATTAACATATTGTAAGTAAGTAAACAGTAACGGCACATCAGGTCTGTGTGAGATGAAGATAAAGCAAGTGATGTATTAAAATCAGCATCCATTCAGTACTCTGTGACCTTGCAGTCACATTTTCTGCAATCTTTCTACATTTTTGGTGTTTCACATAAAAAGTGAAATTGGCTGAGAGAGCAACTTACTCTTGAAGTTGTCACATATTTTCAGTGCAAGAAAAAAAATCAAACTATTTGCCAAGCAGCTCTGTTTAAACGTACTGCAGGATAATTTTAATTTAAAGTTGTTTTCCTCACACTTTAAACCATTCCATTAACCTTACACCAGCGTTGGCTGGTTTTACATCTTTTCCTATGGCCATCATCATATGATCATTCACAGAATGGTTTGGGTTGGAAGGGACATTTAAAGATCATCTAGTCCAATCCCCCTGCCATGGCAAGGACATCTCTCACTAGATCAGGTTGCCCAAAGCCCCGTCCAACCTGACTTTGAACACTGTCAATGATGGGGCATCCACAACTTCTCTGGGCAACCTGTTCCAGTCTCTCACCACCCTCATTGTAAAAAATGTCTTCCTTATGTCCGGTCTAAACCTACCTGCTTTCAGTTGAAAACCATTGCCCTTTGTGCTGTCACTGCAAGCCTGGTAAAAAGTCTCTCTGCATCTTTCTTATAAGCCCCCTCTAAGTATTGAAAGGCCGCAATAAGGTCTCCCCAGAGCCTTCTGCTCTCCGGGCTGAACAACCCCAACTCTCTCAGCCTTTCCTCATAGGAGAGGTGTTCCAGCCCTCTGATCATTTTTCCGGCCCTCCTCTGGACCCGCTCCAACATGTCCATGTCTTTCTTGTGCTGGAGACCCCAGAGCTGGACGTAGTACTCCAGGTGGGGTCTCATGAGAGGGGAGTAGAGGGGCAGAATCCCCTCCCTTGACCTGCTGGCCACCCTTCTTGTGATGCAGCCCAGGATACGATTGGCCTTCTGGGCTGCGAGCGCACATTGCTGGCTCATGTCCAATTTTGTCTCCACCAGTATCCCAAAGCCCTTCTCTGCAGGGCTGCTCTCAATCCCTTCATCCCCCAGTCTGTACGGATATCGGGGATTGCCCCAACCCAGGTGCAGGACCTTGTGCTTGGACTTGCTGAACTTCATGGGGTTTGCACAGGCCCACTCCTCCAGCCTGTCCAGGTCCCTCTGGATGGCATCCCGTCCCTCTAGTGAATGAACTGCACCACTCAGCTTGGTGTCATCTGCAAACTTGCTGAGGGTGCACTCGATCCCACTGTCTATGTCATTAATGAAGATATTAAATAGTACTGGTCCCAGTATGGACCCTTGAGGGACACCACTGGTTACTGGTTTCCACTTGGACATTGAGCCATTGACTGTAACTCTTCAGGCGCCACCAGCCAGCCAGTTCCTTATTCATCGAACAGTTCATCCATTAAATCCGTATCTCTTCAATTTAGAGAGAAGGATGTTGTGGGGAACTGTGTCAAAGGCCTTACAGAGGTCCAGATAGACGACTTCAGTTGCTCTTCCCTTGTCTGCTGATACAGTCACTCCATCGTAGAAGACCGCTAGATTAGTCAGCCACTATTTGCCATGTTGGCTATCTCTCCTCAGCTCTTCTATATGTTTTGACATGTTTTCCGGGATGATCTGCTCCATGATCTTACCAGGCACAGTAAGATCATGGATTATTGTTTAAGAAGTATTTAGCAGGGGGGCAGCTGTTTTCTACTTTTTAGTATGTTGCAAGAAAACAACTAAATACTCTGTAAAATGATAGACTCACTGAAATGATCAAATCTCTGAGGAAATCTGACAGCACACAACCCTTTTTAATCTTGACAATGAAGAAAGAGGGGGAAGCTAGCTGCTACAGGCTGTTCAAAATCCTCAGCTCTGTGAAAAAAAAACTGAAATTGGTCTTGACTGATTGCGCAAAAATAGTGAATGAGAATTGTGAACACTGAACTATGCCTTGAAAGCTATATTCGAATGTTCTGGCCCTACTGGTGTATAGCCTAGAAGAAGTAAAATCTGAGAAGAAAAGATTTTTGCTTGAAATTTCCGGTTTCAAACAGGACTGAAACAATCACTGGTGTTCATTCCAATTCCCTGACTGCTGGAGCCAACCCTGCACATGTGGGTTGGTAAGTGTAGTAGCAGAAGCCATTTAAAATTTGTTTTCCTCGAGGTAGCAACTCCACTGTGAAACCTCTTTGAACGAGACAACACCCTATCCTACTAATGCTCATGGTGTGCACATGCCTAGATGGATGGGTCAGAAACAGAGCAATAGTTACTAGTAAAGGCTTATGTTCTCTCCCGCTACTCTTGCTGGAAGCTCTTCATTTATACAGATTGGGGACAATATGTATAAATCATGTTTAGATCTTCGATATGTTTCACATAAATCAAAAGCAGTAACTTTTCCAGGCAGAGAAGACACGAAGTCCTATCAATGCTTTCTATGCTGCTCTAAATCTAAATATTTTATTTATTCCATTTCATTTACTATTAAATTTCATCTCCAGTGGGAGAGCCATCTGAAAAAAAGCACCTTTTTCCGTCTCTAACCATGCCTGCTGGAGTTTCCATGACAAAAAAATGCTGGATCAGCATGGTAGAAAGAGGGAAGGTGTCCAGAATTCAACACATCTGAATATGTTTGTTGGCTGTGTTTCTCTAGTCATTACTCTTTTGAATTCTCTGACAATCACAATCTCAGAACTGATTAATTTCACTGAGGTGTGTTTTGAGGAGAAAGCAACGGCCTGCTGGATTGTGAGCCTCCATCACCAGCAGTTGCTGGCCCTGCGGCAGCAGCAGAAGAACAGAATGAATATCCTCCGCTGGGTCAGAGCACAGAGGATGTCAGTCTCCTCTTGTAAAGCAGCAGTGTTTGTTTGTAATCTTGTTCTCAACATATACCCTTGAGAGAAAATAGCATTTCAGTGAGATACAAATACTCTTCTTTCATTTTTTAAATGAGACAAAATCTTCACCAAAATGTCACGCAACAGCAACTTTTCAAAGGGCTGAAATTGTGTGAAACAGAATTGTTGCCCCTTTCACACACATAATCTACACTAGACAATTCCTACCTTCAGCCTTGCCGCTCTAATTAAAGACATATGCATTGTGATACTGTGCAATGCAGTCTGCAACACAGCTGGCAAAAATAGTGTGACTGTTTTTTAGGCAATTGTGCTGAAGGCCACATGGTTCTGTTGTAAGGATTTTGGATATTCCTGCTTTTCCAAAGGGTCAACTCAATTTTTAGGAAAACCTTTTCTCCTCCCGTTGGCCAGAAAATATACTGCTAATTATAGAGAACCTTTTCTATAGTATGTGGTGGATGTCCTGTGAAGAGCAACTTCAATGACTTAAAATAACTGGGGTTATTTTTAACAGGTTGGTTGGACCTAGTTGAGCTCTTTATTTAGTAGACATGTATTAGCACCTTAAAGTGCCTTTCTTTGGAGTAATCATAACTGTAGGAGGACTGTTCTGTGCCTACTTATGCACTTGGTCATGGTGAATTTGTGCCCATGCTTAGCAACAAGTACTTGCTTACATTCCACTAACTTCAGTGGGATGTAAGTGGTTGAATGCCACCTCAAAACGGAATGTTTTCCCAGTTTGAGATCTCAGTGATTGCATATACTCTATGTAAATGGATACTGAACATCCACAGTCACGGGGAAATCTCAGTAAGAGGTCTGGTAACCATTTGGTAAACAATTATATTTATTCCCAAGAGGGTATACTTCACTGCATTATTCTAAGTCTGTCTTTAGGAATCTCAAGAAATAAAGACCCATCGAACTTGAAAACCAGTGATTGCCATTGCACGGGGGGCAAGCCGACTGTGAGCTTATAAGGGTTTTGTGTGTAGTGGCTCTTTGCAGCTGTACAATAGCAGAGCTCTGACTCCAACAGCAGGAAAGCTAGTGATTAGTGTCCCTGCAAGCTCTTCAGAACAAACATGGCATCCTCTAATTCCTGATTTGATACATATACTAAGTAAGAATAACTAGGCTTGTAATTCCTGTCCTGATTCCTTTGATGACTAATAAATCATTTCCCACATATGGAAATTTGACTTTGTAGACATTTTCTTTGAAAGAAATGTGCTAATCAGAAAGGTCTTCCCATAAAACAAGATTACCTTTGTCTGGTCAGTATAGGTAACTTCTCTGTTCAGCAGCTTCCACAACAAACTCCAATGGGGCACAAATTATTGCTGAATTTCAGCTGAACTCTCTGTGCAGGGACAGATGGCATTAATATGAATAGCAATTGAATTAACACTCAGCTACTGCTACCTCCCCAGCACAAGCAATGAAACCAAGACAGCATTTTAACTGGAAGATTTCACATAAATATTTAGGTTAGATAAGGATGAAAATAGGGCATTATTTATGGATGGTTCTTAGCATCCCAACTGTTTCTGCAGCTGGGTTCCTCACAAAATAGATCAAAGAACAGCAGTAAGACCAAGCTATTTTTTAAGTATTAATGATGTATTCTTCAGAAATCGTAAGGGAACTTGCTAACACTTTGCCAGGTGTTTGCGATGTTAGCTAGCAGGCTGAGTTTCCTTTGCATCTTCTGTTCTTCCAGGCTCTGAGCTGGCAAATAACTTAAACACTTGCGTAGGCCAGCAAGGCACTTCAGTTCATGGTATCACCTACTTAGAGGTGAAGGCCTTTGTCTGTTCAAGGGCTTTATGAAAAAGGCTGCCTTTAGTCAGAAATTTAAAATGAGGTACACACCTCAGTTGTGAGCTGCTGAACTGGAGTGTGGGGGCTGCGTTGCTGACGAACAGATGACAGCCACCACAGAAGAAGTGTTAGTACACGAACCTCTGCATTAAACGCAGGCTGGGGGGCTTACAGCTGGAGCAAAAGATGTGACACAGCCACAAAGGAGCTCTTGCTGAGTGCAAAAGGAAAAGCTGGTTTCTGTTTTCTTTGCCAGTTCCTGCACAGGGGCGGATTTGTTGTGCTCATATTTCTGTACTCATGTTACCTCGAGAGATCCTCAGCTGGATTTTTTTTTTTCTATCAATGCCAGAAACATAGTGTTGGGTTGATAAAAAGCAGGTGTGGTAAAGAGGGGGTGTTTCAAATACTTGGTAGTCCAGATGCATTGATCTGGAGTGGTTGTTTTGTTTTTAATTATGGTGGGCGTGCATGGCTGTCATTAATCCAAACAAGTCATGACATTTGGGGGAGAGAGATCTATGTTTTGTAACGTTTAAAAAATCTGAGATTTGGGGTTAGGAAATTGCTATGTATAATTCAAGGAATATTAAATGTACAAAGGAAAAAGCATTTTAAAGTCTTGGATTTTTAAAAGCTGCACAGTACTGGCCTCTGTGTTCCCCTGTCAGCCTTGATAAATGTTCAGCTTCGGTGGGAGCAGAGCTAAGTGAATGAAATTGATTATTCTTTTTTGCTTTCCGAGCCATCGCATGTTATTTCTTCCAGTACTTTACTACCATGTAGCTATAGTAATTCTAAATGGGAGGCTTCAGATATCCTCCTTTTACACTTCACATTTCTGGATGCCTCTGCCTTACAAAGAGTCAAGAACTAATGTCATGAATTAAAAAGTACGGGTGGACGGGGAATGCCCACTGTGATCTCAGCTCATTCTGGGTCCCGTTCCCTGCTCTGACCTGTTTCCATCTGGGATGTGCGTGGGTGGATTTATCCTGCTCTCCATGTCTCTCAGGAGTTGTTCAGGCAGGCAGGGCAATCCAGCACAGAAGCTGCTCTTGACCTTTCTCTTTTGGCTGTTACTAAATGGGCCCTTGGGGATGAAGCAGCGGAGGTGCATCTCGTTGCAGTTAAGCATCTGGCCAACCATTTGCTGACATGAACTCTTTCCCCTTGAGAAGTGTTTGAAAGATGATGTTGCTATCACCCAACTGTTAGATGCCCCCCTCCTGCCACATCCTGCTTACGTCCTCAAGGGCACCCTTGTGCGAGCAAATGTCACTCATGTAACCCAGTGAAATAGGATTGGCCACGGCAGCAATTATTTTCGTTTCCTTCACCTCCTTTTCCCCCCTCTCATATTACCTGGGCTCCTGTCAGCGCACCAACTTGTTATTCTCTTTACACTCTGGGCTCGCTGCAGGCAGCAGGACGTCTCTACCTTCAGCTTCAAGGTCAGTTTAACTACCTATATTGCTTTTCTCGCCTGATTTTGAATACAATGGTTATTAAAAATGCATTCAACGCACCACACGATGTGGTGTAATTTGGTTATAATTTATTGATTCACATAACTACTTGGTGCAAGAAAAAATCTGCCAGCTCACTGTGCAGCTGCTTCAAATGCTGACCCTTCAGTAACAGTTTAAGTAAGGGAAAAATAAGTCCCTTTGCAGATGTGTAACAAGTTCAGAGAAAACACCTCTAATTCAGTAAGTTTTCTGTAATTTTGATTGTAGTTCTCTGCACTGTGGAGATGAGGGGTTTAGACTGTAAAATAGTGTTGGATTGATTCAGAAGGGCGAGCACTCCCAGGACCTTGGTTGGGCTTCGGTAGGAGAATTTGGGCTTCTGAGTCTCACCAGGTCGGGTCTGACGGGTCAGACCTTCAGCTGATAGAAATAAAAAATCATGCTGTTACTAAGGGGTAGTTACCGAGGAGTTACTGAGGTGTTACTGAAGAGTAGTTGTCTGATCTATGAAGAGCCTTTTCCGTGTCTTCTCTACTCATATGAATCTATTAATAGATTCATAGTTTGGATATTTTTTTTCCCCAGATAATAGCTTTTTATAACCATTCACTGACGTCTGGCATTACAAGGAGAAAGAAACTGAATTTTAGTGCATTTTTCATAGAGATATTCCGTGCTGTGATTGAGGCACAGTTAGACTGATGGCTGCACTGACACTGTTTCTGCACTCCAGAGATTTTGTCTTAAGCCCAGACCAGTCAGAAAAGTTTGAGTCTTTTTGAAACTGAAAAACCCCACCAATATTGCTTTATGAGATTTAATGTTTTAACTTATATCTTATCCTCTGAACCTGTAGAGTGATAAAGCAAACCAAGAGCAATGTAAACTATTTTCTGGGCATCTAAAAATGGTGTCTCATGCATGTAGTCACTTGTGACATTTATTGCAGATGTTTCTAAGGTGCCAGCAACTTCCATAGACAGGCAGAGAAAACTTTCCACTGGCATCTGTAGGCTTTAGCTCAAGCTAAGGATGACTCAAAAAATTACTTCTCAAATACAACAGACCAGTCTCCTTCTCCCTCCACCACGTGAAAGTTCAGCTCATTGCAGTGATACCGTTAGTTGAACAGCTTAACAGTTTAAGACGTGCATATACATTATCTGTGATTACGAGCCTGTGTGAACTTTAGCTATGACTCTGCCATTCCTCTAAAATGTCGCTCAGGATCACATGGTGTGGCAATTAATACCACCCATGACATGGTTCAAATATTTAATCTAGTTCTATTTCTAGAAATGTCACTGTAACCCTTGTACCTTCCTTCCCTCGTTGGCTAAAAGCACGTGTGCTGCCTAGTGGGAAATATAGGATAACCAATACCTGTGTTCGAACAGATTAAGAGAAAAACGGAGCTGACGACTTCCTCTTTAAAAGAAGTTCAAGAAAGTAAAGAATTAATAGCAAAAGCATTATTTTTTAAATATTAAAAGTAGTAGTAAAGTTTGCAAGTTCCTTAGAGGGTAAAGAGGCGGTTTGTGCATTTCTGATGATTCACTCGCTTCTGAGGTTCCCAGAGAGGGATGGAACATCTTCACCCATGTGCAGATCACAGGATTTCCACGTGCAATAGGACACGGCTGAGGCAGTCCAAGCACGGTGGTAGCTGTGAATCAAATGTCCTGGGGACCCTCTGCAGCCTCTGGCCAGAGCGGCAAGGGGAGTTTTGCTATGTCGGAGTTTTGCTATGTCAGAGTTTTCTTAAGTTGTTGATTTAGAAGAAGGACCTTTTTAGTGTTGGTGAGAAACCTGCTGTACAAAAGCCGTATTTCTTCTGGAGAGTACCTTCACCTTTAACAGATGCTTTAATCTAGGTGTATTGTGAATAAGAGGGAAAACTGGTTTAAGGCCCTGAAATAGGCATTTTCCAATTTTTATCATCCTGGGGTTCAAACTGTAGTTACAAACAGCCCCCCCTTAAATGATACTTGCAATCCTTTGGGCTGTTTCTCAGCCAGCACCAAATTTGCTGTAGTGACTTCTGCTAAATCTTGCTGCTGGCTTTTGTCTCCACCTTCTGTGCATGGTAGGTGATACACATATTAAAATACAGTTTTAAAACCAAAATATACTCCTGGCAGGACATTAATGTCCTGAAGGCTGGTTACAGGTAGCTGAGCATGTCTTAGGGGACAGCAGAGAGATAAAGGCTATGACCTCTAAGATCATGACCTTTCAGACAGGTTTTGCTGATTCACTGGCCGTAAGTCGTCACGCAATATGGGAATACTGCTTTGGAAAAGGCAATGCCAGTTTGACTCTGAATTTTTTTACCCTTTATGGTGTCAATGTGGTGAGAGAACAGGAATGATTTTGCTCTGCTATGAAGAAACCTTGTTTTTGCAGACACTTAACACTACATGCTGTACAGCTTAGTGGCTGTTACTTTAAGTCAGTGTTGCATTTACTCCCCTCACAATTAACCACTGCAGACATCGCTCCACAAGATGACTTGCAAGGAATTAATCAAAATTGTTCACTGTAAGAGGGAACCTGATGCATGGAAGATACACAGCAACCGTTTCTGAGCTAATTGCTCTGTGTTTCTTCTCTCCAGTACAACACTATTTGTGCTTTCTCCAAGCAATAACACAAACACAAGTGACCTTGGAAATAAAACTTTAAAGGACTTGTTGCCAGTGACAAATTCCACCTCAGAGTCACTGAGCTGTGCTCCATGCCCTGCCCTTGGGACAAAGGCATGCGTAATCCTGGAGGGATGCAAAAGATATCTTAACTAGTTATCATGAGACAAAGCCAGTAACCAAAGTATGAGCAGAATGACATAATAAGGGGAAAATGTGCAAGGCAAGATGTCCAAGCATTTTGTAAAGCTGTCAGATTAAAATACCGGGAGCCATCAGAGTGTTTTGCAGCACGCTTGACTAACAAGAAAAAAAAACAACCCTTCCCTGCCACTTTACCTGTAGAAAAACCACCTGATTCTGGATACCAGCTGAGATGCATATCTTACCCTCCACCTTCAGCAGTTAAAGGATGCCCAGTTGTGGGCACTGCTAAAGTCCATGCTGTCTGCAAAGGAAAGGAAGACAGATGTGTTGTAAGTGCTGAGTGGCAGTAGAGGGGATCAGCCCTGAGTGTGGTAAGGAAAAGCAGGAGATCAATGACTTGAATAGGATCATTGCATGAGATCCAGCAATGTTGGCACTCACATTAGAGAGCTGGTGAGCCAAACCCGAGTGATGCCATGTGCAGCAGAAGCAGGTGCCCCCTTCCAGTTACGGCAAGGCTGGCACCGCAGTGCTCATGAGGTCCATTTTTTGTATTTCTGCCATCTGCTGAGGGATTTGAGAAGCTCATGCTCTTCTCTCCCGGATACTCCCTGCCTGCTCTTCTTTCCATCAGCTTGCAACAAGGTCAGTGCTGTCCTAATCTGTGGACTTGAGCTAGCACTCCAGTGTGTACTTCCCCACTGCAAAATACCAGTTCTCATTAATTCAGTTTGGACTGCTGTGTCTCCTGAGGTGTCAGCTTCTGCTGGTCCGCATACAGAATATATATGGTGCTCCAGCTTTGTCACAGCCTTACGCTGAAACAGTTCAGTTTAGATCACATCTCTGAATATTTCTTACACAATGCACTGAAATCCCCACATCATCAAATTAGTAAGGGAGAAGCTGTCTGACTCTTAATGTGCCTATCCATTACATTTTGGAAAAACAGTCTTATTACTATCAGAGTATTATCTGAGTGACACATACTTAAGGTCTCCTGCCATGAATCCTAAGAATCTCATTAAAATCTATAAAATAAAATTATTAAGCTTAATACCTCAAAAAAAGTGGTGTGTCCAATACCATAGAAATTAGACCCCATTTGGACAACTGAAGAAGAGATGTTCACAGAACTAAAAATCAGTGCCGGTTTAGATGCAGCTGATTCTGTCTTATGTGTTAAAAAATAAAGTCCAAATTCACATGTAGCTTGTGGTGCATTGAAAGAACTTGAAACTTCTGCAAGGTTGGTGCAGTTATAAACCATTTAGCAGAGAAACAATTTTTCAGTAGAAAACCATAAATGATAATTGGGAACCATTTAAGAATATTTTATCAGTACATTCAGAATCCCACAACAGAGGAGAAAACTTCTCTGCTTATTAGGAAGCATTCCAGTTTAAAGGGAAAGTGAAAGTGATAGTAAAAAAATTGATGGGACTGATAGAGACTCAAGTTAACCAGGTTCCTGTTATTGCAGACAACCCCCTCACCTAATTTTACTCGGAAGTGTATCTATGTCCTTATCAGAAATAGCTCCCTGGCTGCCCCAGTCAGGATGCTCCCTAGGCCATGCTGAGGACTGCGGTCAGCACTCCCTACCCGCGGTTCAGGGAACTGTGCGACTCCCAAAGGGGCCAGGGCTTGGCAGGCAATGACCACAGTGTGCACTTCTAGTGAACCGCTGCTGTCCCAAGGGGCTGATACGATTTCCGAATGCGAAAGCTATTTAGTAGACACAGAGATGCTCTGCTGCTTCCATTTTGGAGACCTGGTACAAGCATTACTGGAATGACAGGACCATTCTGGTCTCAGGAGGATGTTGAGGATGAAACAAAATGGAAAGAGTTCAGGGAAGAGCTAAAGAGTGATTAATAAATTTGAAAATGTGATAAAAATCTGATGGAGAGACATAAAAAGTGATAGTTATTAAGTAGCTACGTGTGGAACAAATAATGAGTAGAAATTTCTACAACAAACTGATAAAAGTCATAACAAAGGCCAGTGATTCAAACTGAAGACAAACAAATGCAGGCCAAAAATAAGATAAGAGTTTTATTTACTTTTTTAACTCAGGTTGATTAACCCTTGGAACTCCTTTATCTTCTCCAGACCATACTCTCTCTAGATAGTTTTAAATGGAAGACGGATGCGTTCCTAATGCAGGTGTTTTCCTTCCTGCACACCTGATCAGCACAGGCAAGTGCTTGATTCCTCTTCAAGGGATAAAACTGATAATCACAAAAGTTCTTCTCATCTTGAAAAATTAATCTTGCCCCTTCTCAGCTGCTCTATGATAGCACTATAGGCATCTACGAGAAAATGGATTTTCTATCATCATAAGCACAAGGGAAGAGCCATAGGAAATGCCTACAAAAGAAAAGCGCGCATGTTCATTTTTTAGGCTGTGCAGTGGTTAAATTTTCCTGATGAAAGTGAAATGTTTACAGTGGAGGCCTAACAGCATGGTATTTCTGGTAAAGTGTTCTTAGAAAAACCTTACACCTTTAACGCCACCTTTGGCTGGAATAATTACGTTTCTCCGAATCCACAGAGGTGGTAATGGTGCAAACTTATTGTTAGGGCAGGTTGACATTTTCTGGGGGGAAAAAAACAGCTAAATCTGTTAATGATTTGAGGTCAGATTTGACAAATACCTTTGATGAGAATTTTTTTTAGGTTGAGACCATTCTGTTCAGACTCTTTCAAAATGGATCTTTTTGAAATGTCTGTTTTGAAGCAATGCATTACTTAGAAATCATGCTATTGTTACAGGGGAAAAAAAGAAAACCAAACCAAAATGGTCTTGTTTCCTACTAAATAAAGTGTCTTGTTCATCATGCGCCCTTATAATGTAAAACCTGTTTGCTGAACTTGTACGCCAGGTTTTTGTGCAAGTCTATTTGTGCTATTTTGATTGTACGTGGACTACCTGTGCAAGGTATAACGTGGACTCAGTTTGTGCTGTAGTATTATATGCATTTCTATTCAGAACTATAGCCCACCCTTGTGGCAAGAGGTGTTTATTAAATTAGGAGTTACACCATTGTGATAAAAAAGATTACAGTCCCCTTTCCACAACAGTCCAGATGACGTTTTTCTTCTCATAAGAAATTCTAACTTTCATGTTCCCCTAGACCCTTTGCATCTGACAGTCACAAATGATGGTCCCTGCGATGGCAATGCCACGCTGCAGTCAGAAGGTCCTACCTAAGAAGCAGAAGATCAGGCCAGCTGTCATCTCCCAGTTCCTGCAGGCAGCAGCCATGTGATGCTCTGATTGATGCTTGTCAGGCCACCTTCTCAGCAGAGTCACCTTTTCTGCAGGAGTGACTGGGTTTAAAAAGCTGAGGCACTGACTGGTAAAGACAGAAACTGAACTTCTGCTTACCGAACTGCAAAGTTTGGGGAAGGAAATGTTAGGCTGAGGAGTGCTGGGCTTAAACTGTAACAAAGGATGTGTAGTTAGACATTAGGGTTTTTTTTTTTAAAAAAAAAAAAAAAAAAGAAAAGAAAAAAAGCCTACCTTACTCTGATTATTTTTTTAGGTAGTTAACCTACCCAGGCTGTGGCATCTCCAGTGTTGGTGGCTTTTAAGAGCTGTTAGAGAAGTATCTGTCAGGTAAAGTAGAGCCTGCCTCAGGGTAAGGAAAACTTCTTCTGTGATCCAACAAGGCAAGAATATCCCGGGGGACGAGGCATGCAGCCACAATGGAAGATAACATTGCCAACAAGAAAAATACTTGCATTATGGGACCTTATTAAACTCAAAAAAGACAACAATTTTATGAGCATAAAATCTGCCCTTGATCAGGTGTCCAAAAGTCAGTCATTCTGCCCCAAAGGTACGGGCCCGTTAAATGTATCAAACCCTGAAAGGGTGAGAAAACTGCTGTTGATGCCTGAACGAGGGAGGAGGGGACAATGAAACCGTCCATGCTGAGAGGATCTGCTTTAGGGATTAAAGCTCGGCATTGCACATCCAGTCAAAGACAGGCATAAATAAGAGTGAGGAGCGGGGTACTTATACCCATTCAGCAGAAAGAGTAAGGTACAATATCCCTGTATTTCCCAGATCAGCCATGGCACAAAGCCTTTACCGTTTGAGTTACCAAGGAAGTCTCTTTGCCTTTTCAAACTGGTTCCTTTTCCCCCAGCTTCATCTATTTCTTTTTCCAGGTGGTTCATTTCTCTTTCTGTTCACAGGCTGTGATTTCTGTTACAACCCTATACCTCAGGCACACAGCGTAGTTCAGCCTGACAGTCAAGGATGCCAAGCTACCTGCAGCCACCCAGGGTATTGTTTGCACACCACATTCTGCAGAATGCTCAGGTGCTCTCAGGACCAGGCGCTCTCTTATCCAATAGCTGTTGCGAGGGCAAAGCGAAAGATACAAGAAGCACTGAATCAGTAGCTAAACAACCTGTAGCTTTTAACAACTTCAGCGAGCATGGTTTGTCTCGCAAAGAAATCACAGAGAGCAGCTTCTAGCATCCTTCACCCTCGCAGAGCTCCCGTGTACTTCTCAGCTCCTCCAGAACAAATTAATGCCACGTGCCTAGCGAAGAGCACGCTGTGCTTACCTTCCAGTCCCAGACCACAACATCGTGCTGATCCGGAGAGTAACTTTCTGGCTGGGACGTTGTTCTTATCCATTGTGCATTCTTGATCATTGGAAAAGGCTCTAAGGTAGAAAAATATGCAGCCAGTCAATCAATAGCTGCTGTCACAAAGGATGGGACTTTCCCGTCACATTGCATTAGTACAAGGAATGGAGGTTATGTGAAAGCAGCAAACAATACAGTGCAGCCTTGCCAGCAGGTATGTGACATGGCTAAATATAATGACCTGTCTGGGGCTGTTAGCTTTACCTGTTAGGCTGCGGTACACACTGTAATCAATAGGTGTGCTGTTCTTGTTATTTCTGAAGCATTATAATTACACTGTTGGGCCTCGTGCTTCTTTCTAAATATATACTGCACATGATTACTCTGATTTAATCAGATGTCTGGACCAGATTTGTCCCTTAAAGTGACACAGGATTCAGAAGCTCCCAAAAAATCCAAGCTGGTGGAGATGCCGATGAGTGCCTGGAGTCGTTGAAGTCATAATGTCATCATCTGCAAGGCGATTTTGATACGGCTTCTAGTTTTCAGGACAGGATTTTGACTGCCAGCCAATTCCTTGCAGTAAAGATGGTATCTGTGAAACAGAACTCTAAATACATAGAGCTGCTGTGAAAATACATGTATTGTTTCTCAGACACTTAGGTATAGCAGTAATATGTGCAGATTAGTCATAAGCAAATATTTCCAGAGTGTAGGATGGGGATGCTATACAGTGAAAAGGCACTATACCAGCTACTAGCTCCTCCATCCCAGCCGAAACTGGGACAACCATCTGCTAAATACACAGAAAAGAAAGCAGCACAAAAACTTCCATCACAAACCTCATATTTGATTTTGATTTACAGTCAAACATTCTCCCACTGCATTTTGGGAGGGAGAGATCCTGTTGCAGTCATGAGAGCCTGTCCTGCAACTCTCACCTAAACAAATTCATAGATGGAGGGGAGCCACTCCCAGAGATAAGATAAGGCTACGGTAGATGATCTGCCTCCTGTCCCAGCCCAGTGTCAGCACATATTTCATTATACTCTAGTGCTGTGCAACTAATTCTTGAGGACTTGGAATAGCTGAGGAAATCGCAATGTATTCCGAATGGGACAAAAAAAATTTGCTCTCCCTGTGTGGTCTTTCCCCATTTCTGTTTTAGGGAAATTCTTTCAGTGAAAAAATATTGAAATTTCTGTCAATCAGTCAGCACCTTTCTTTGGAAGGAAAGTTAGATAAATGTATATTGCATTTCAAAGGCATGGAGAAGACAAAACAACAAAATTCAGGTATAAAATTGTTTAAACAAGATACAGGACATGAAACAAATGACTCTCAAACTTGAAACACATCTGTGTTTCTCATCTGACATATGTGACTAAAGTACAAAGAAGATACTGCTTTGCAACAGAAAACCATGCAAGCAGATGAGAATATCTTTTTACCAAGTGAGAAGATACAGATGCAACATTGCATTTGTCTTTAGACAGGAGTGGAAAAGGCGAAGAAGTACAGGGTTTGGGGCTAACTAACCCAGAGCTACATGAAAATTATTGGAAATTAGAACACTTTGTTCACTGAGAATAAAACCAAATGCTTTGAGGTGTTTAGTTTAACCTCCAAAAGAATGGTGAGGAGATTGCATAAACAATTATGTTTTTTAAAACTTTGAAAAAACAACTGAAGCAGCATATCCTGGGGGAAAGGTCATGTTTTCTTGTAAATCTTCCATGCCCATTTCCCAAAGATGATTTACCAGAGTCCAGTTTTAAGGATAAGCTTCTGTCAATGACACAAATTGGAACTTGTGTGCTCTATTTAAACAGAAGCTATAACTTCCTGAGGAACTCACAGTCACCGGCAATACTAGTCAAATTCTGATTCTTGTAAGAAAAAAATGTGCATTTCTTCTTCAGACTTTCACAGAACATGCAGTTTTCTCTGCTATACTTAGAGATCTCCTGTACCTCAGACATAATCCCAGTAGAATTAAATAGAAAAAATACATGTATAGAAATAATACATGTAAATACTAACCATTTTTCTGAACACACTATATAAGTGCAAATCAGTAATAAAAATAAATTTCTTCTCCTATAGGGCTACCATGTAAAGTGAGGCTTTACTTGTCATTTGCACTGCATGAGGACTTATGGGTTGACATTGGGCTGTCTTCTCTTCCAGACATCGCACCCTCCGAGAGGAATGGCTGGCACCTTCTGTCGTCTCCTGGCTGGCCGTGCAACCACTGCACTCTTTGCAGCCGCAGGCACAGGGGTGCTAACCACCGGGTACCTCCTCAACCAGCAAAATGTGAAGGCTGCTGTTCAGGAAAAACGGAAGCTCTTCCCTCCGAGGTAAGCACCTGGGGTTAGGCAGTCAGGTGAGCACAGCGTCCGGGTAACTGGGCTAGGAGCAACGTTTAACTCTTTGGAGGAAGAAGATCCCTACCAAAGCTGCGGAGTCTTCATGTGGCCACGCCGTCTGTGTGTCTGTCCATGGGCTGTGTGACCTGAAAAACCCTTTATTAATAACCCCAGTTTTATGTAGCACCAACAATGGCCTTCAAGACCAGAAAACAGGGATGTGAGATAGTATCAACACTCAAAAAAAACCCCATTGCTGAACAATGACAAGCCTAAAAAATGTTTCAAATTTTAGGCAGAGCACTAAATTAGTCCTTATCTTGTCTCATCAGCTATCGAACACTGTGCAGCTCAACTTACTGGACTGGCTGATTGTATGGACTCTACCATTAGGAAATGTGAAAATATTTTCATTATGCAAGTAGTAAAGAAATCTCCCATATAACTACCGTACTTGAAATACACCTAGTTCTGTTACAAACTGGCTGGCTGATGATTAGAAACTAATTACAGACCTTCTTCTGTGTAGGCTGACTTTCCTGGCCATGCTTGTGAAAAACAATATGGACCAGGCTCTGGCAGACTTCCTTTTTTTTTTTTTTTTAAAGTAGTGAATAGTATCCTAGTTAAAATAAATTCTTATAGAAATAACGGAGTTGTGCATACAGCAAAGCGTTACCAGTACAAGGTAGATGTGGTCTGACTCAGTTGCAAAAATGCCTTGCAAAGCATAACATCTTCGTTTTCCCTGGCTTAGCATACCATGCAGCTTTCTGTAAATAACAATGCCATTAAGGCAAACCCATATATTGTAGAAGAGCTAGCTTCCCAGCTGACATAGAGCAGACCATCTCACCGACATCCACTAAGCTGTGAGAGCACCTGAGCCCGAATTACGAAAAACTTCTTCAGCTAAACTTAATTCCGTTCCTACTTGAACAAAACTATGTTAGAGCTCTTTTATTTCTGAATAAGAGTGTCTCAGCAGAGATTTAATGGGGCTTAAGTACACTTTCAGAGCTCATTTGGATTCATTTTCCTGATGGCCCTGAGCAGCAGAAAGCTGCAATTGCCTGTTGCTGTGGTGGCCCACCAGTGTGCAACATGGGGTACTTTCAGTGACCCGAATCCTCATCCCTTCCTAAAATTCAATGCAACATATAAACCAAGAACTAATTATACTTTTAAACCATGCTGTGTATTCTGTATCTCATGATCCCTTTAACAGCTTCATAAACTAGTGAGGATTACTCTTCAAAGGTGCCACATTAATTGCTTGGGTTTCTTCTTCTCTTCAGCGCAGACTATCCTGATCTCCGCAAACATAACAACTGCATGGCTGAGTGCCTCACACCAGCCATTTACTCTAAGCTAAGGGACAAGATGACTCCCAACGGCTACACCCTGGACCAGTGCATCCAAACTGGGGTTGACAATCCTGGCCATCCTTTCATTAAAACTGTGGGCATGGTCGCAGGTGATGAAGAATCCTATGAGGTAAGACATTTCCACAATACTGTTGTATTTGTTTCGGTTTTCGTGCTATTGTTCACAGGAGCTCGTTAGATGAAGACAGATTCCTGGTAGGGTATGCGCTCCTAAGATAAGTTGTATCACGGAGAGTACATAAGGGGCAGGCCATGTGTGTACAGATGGTGTTTTCCCTACCCTTACACATTAGAAAATGCATGAACATGAGGCGTTACCACAGGTGCCCTCTCTGCTGCAATTGAAGTTAATAAAATGTACCTGCTTGGGAGCAGCTGCTACCTGCCTCCAGCAGCTGCCCTCCTTCCTGCAACTAAACTTAGTTTATGGAAAACTATGCAACCCTGAGACACACAAAATAAAGGTAATGTGCAAATTACATTGTGGAACAGCAGAGGCAGAAGTGAAACAAAAATGTCTTCTGGGAAGTGCCAGACATCATTAAGCCACAGCTTTTGTATCATGATGAAAACCGAAGGCAGACAGCATTAGGGTGGACAGGTTTATTTAACTCTGCAATAAGGAGAAGAGGAAAAGAGAAGAAAATCCTTATTTTTGTTGACCTCTTCCTTCAGTCTACCATACAATGGTACCTATTATTATGCAGTCTCCTAACAGTATCCCAAACACTGGGCTGCTGAGGAGGGACTGGGACATCTGGCATCCTGGGCTAGCAGCTCCTGTCGTTCAGTTTACTCACTTAGATGTGCCACTGCTCCTCATCCACATGAAGGTGTGGTTGTGATCAGTGTTGACACACCCGAGACAAGTGGCTCTAACGAGGACTAGTATCCCATGGCAGTGCAGACATAGGGTATTCCTGCATGACCTAAAAACAGGAGGCAAGCTGCCGGGGGACTCTGAGTGTGTGTTCTGGTTGGTAATACATCCTGAAACCTAATCTGGTTGCCACCACATCCAGTACCTATCTGTGGTAACTAGAGTAACCTTGTAACTTAGGTAAGGTGCAGTTGCACCTTCTTTTTGTTGTGAAGATGAGCAACCACTACAGAGCACTGTCTAGATCAAAAGCACCCGCTCTTTTCATGTTTAGCCCTGTCTGCATTTGCAAAGCCCTCTTTAAGTTTGTCACCCGGAGCCTGTGCCAGGGGACTTGTGCTGTGGCTGAAGCTGGTTCATTTAAGTGTTTCTGTGATGCTGCAGACTCTTTCTAGATTCTCTTGACTCCGTAGGTGTTTGCTGAGATTTTTGACCCTGTCATTAAAGTGAGACATAATGGCTATGATCCACGGACAATGAAGCATCACACGGACCTGGATGCATCCAAGGTAGGATTTAAATAAAATAATGAGACAACAAAGGTTCAGGGCTGCTTCTTACAGTGATGATATTGTATGTAATAGTACTTTTCTTTTTCCTGATCCAACTCCAAAGACAGTAATTTTAGGGTTAAGGAAAGTGGGATGCCACTCATGGCCCTAACAGGAAGACAGCTGCATCCCTACCTTGCTCCTAGCAAGGAGATCAGTCTCAACTGTACTAAGCATTTGGGCCACAGTCTCACTTGGCACTGTAGGTCTGTTCGTGAGCTTACATGTAACCATGTGTCTAAGGGTTGGAATGAAAGCAGGAGTTGACTCCACTACGCCCACATACACGTGATCAAACCTTACCTGCTGCTTAGTATTTCCTTCATAGTTCAACTACACTGTGGTTTAGCATCTTCTTGGGCTTTCCTCTTTTGAAAGATCTTCCGTACCTGGCCCCCTGCCTCTGCCCGTATCGTGTTTCCAAAAGCCACGCAGATTCCTTCATATTTTGGGACCACGAAGGACTAGCTGGTTACTCTGCCACATTCATTCAGCAAAAGAAACTTGTTCCTAAAAAACACTCCTGGTGTCTGAAACTGAGGAGCTTCTGGCACCCTGAGTATTTGTGATCTCATGGAGACGTCGTCATGCCTGGGCAGAAAGATGCCCCTCTTTTTGTACGATGGGATTTGTTTTTTTTAATGGTGAAGTACAACATGGGGGACTGTGTGTGAACTAATGAAACGTTCTTCCTTCAGATCACCCATGGTCAATTTGACGAGCACTATGTCCTCTCATCACGGGTGCGGACTGGCCGCAGCATCCGAGGCCTCAGCCTTCCTCCTGCCTGCAGCAGGGCAGAGCGGAGAGAGGTGGAGAACGTTGTGGTCACCGCGCTCTCTGGGCTGAAAGGAGACCTCTCTGGAAAGTACTACAGCTTGACCAATATGTCCGAGAAGGATCAGCAGCAGCTTATCAACGTAAGTATAGCTCCAGTGCTGACACCACCTTCATTTACTCTCGTCTATCTTAATCTTCATCTTTCTTTGGGGCACATGCTTTCCTGTGTAGCTAAGGAGGATAATCACAGCATTAACCCAGTAGTTAATGGCCTGTCAATATTTTTAATATAATGGCAAATCATCCAGGGTCTATATTTTGGCTAAGTATATACTGTGCAGGTCCGAAACATGGGAGTTGTATTCCAGATAGCAAGGTCTACGTCAAATCAAATATACATGGCTGCTGCCACCTCTTTGGACAAATAACAAAGTAAATTCAGGACTTTTTCTTGGTTATTTCCTTAAGCAAGGATTGATATTTTCTGTATTAATAACCATTCTAACTAAAAATATTACATTGAGATAAGCATTACGTATTATCTGTATTCTGGACTGTCGGGATGGGGGGCTTTGGCTGTAATTTCTTAATGTCAAAACTACACTAATTCTAATTTCCCCAAAATGGCTGTAGCCAACTGCACCCAGGTGGCCTTTTCCCAGTCCTGTAACTGTGTTTAAGGACTTGAAGGATCAGGCCCATAACAAGAGTTTTAATTGTCACATGGATGGAAACACAAGGATTTTCATCATGGATTTTGCCACAGCATGTGACATGTCAAACAAACCTTGAATGTGCATTTTAAATATCCAAAGGAATGGCTGCACCCTGTTAGCTATATTCATGGCACATTAATCCATAACATCAACCAAAAGGGAGCTGATGAAGTAACATAATTATTTATAACCCTGGAACTAGGTGTCACAGTCTGGATTAACCAGGAGTTAAGAATTTGTGTAAGGTCAGTAACTTTTTTAATTGAATGTCCTTGGTAATATGTTTATTGAAAACATGTTGATGACCTATTGTAGGTTTTATTTCATTGCCTTTTTCAGCAGAAAAGAGCTCCTCAGAAAGCAGAGGTTGAAATAGGACGGTGAAGAATATAATTCCTTAATGGTTTAAGGCTAAGTCCTTTGGCAAGTGGAATAGACTTCACTGATTCAGCATTTTACCTTGTTCTGTTTGGTTTTATGATAATGCAAATTTATATAAATCAGGGCATTGAATGTTGTAACCTCAGATTCCATCTTTAACTTATACCATTGCTTACCTCCTCCAGTACTTTAGGGCCTTGAACCTATACGGTATCAGGCTTTCCACCAGCCTTTAATAAGCACCATTTGATCTCTGTAAGATCAAAGCAGTGCTAGCTGAATGGCATTCAGCGCAGGAGGCATTTGTTGCTTTGCAGATTTGGGCCATATGCACATAAAGGAAACTAATAGTGCTTTTCTTGCAAAAAGGGAAATTTTTCTTTCAAGCAAAAGTGTCGAGTGGAGCAAGCTGAGGAAGGAAATGTTGTGTCCCTGTGATGAGCAAAGAGGACTCTATACCTTTTCTTTCTGCATGGTTGGGGTTCTGGCTGCATCATGTCCACCACAGGGTATTCAAAGATGAAACCCTGAAATTCTCCACTAAGGGGAAAAAGAAGTAAAGCATATCAACTTGTCTACCATGTCATATCTATTCTGGATAACTTGCCTCACTATTCCTAATTAAACCCTAGATTTAAAAAAACCAACCAAACAAACAACACCCCACCCTAAACCCTCCCCACATTTGATATTGCAGTGTTTGAGGAGTTAAGAACTAATAATTTTTCAGCACACACACGAAAATCAAATACTTATTTGCTTTGGGAAAAAAACAGCTCCATTAAAAAAAAAAATCTAAATGATCTGGAACGTGGCAAGCCGGTGGCACAGCAAGTGCTACATTTATTAAATCAGAAATAGCATCTCTGTTAAGGAACAGAATAAGTCTGCGATTCCAAAAGGTCAAGCTTAGCACTGATTTAATTCCTACCTTGACTTCATGCTCAGAATAAATTGCTAAATCTCTGTGCTGGAGAAACATCTTTTCAGAACTAGCATTTTTTTTTTTTCCAGTCTTTAAGAACTCATTGCCTTCTCCTACCCTGAAATTTGTCTGTATGCAGAGAACATCTCTGGTGCTAGCAGTCAGGTCCCTCCGGAGTACCCTTTGGCATGTGTATGTGGTATTAGGTCTCCACCTCCCATTCCTCCCTACATTTGAAAAATATTTTTGGCAAAACATGGTCATATTACTGATGTCAGTGAGAATCTGCAAGACTCAAGAAAATCACCTGGGTAAAGTGCTTTCAGTTTTCAGAAGAAGGAACCAGATTCACAAGCTGTAGTATGGGATTTACTTGTATGCTGATTTCCTTCACATAAAATGTATTAGACAGCATTATACTGCTTCCTTGAATAAACTTGAATTTTGTTTTGTTTTCTCTCTCTCTTTTTCTTTCTCTCTCCCTTTGGCCCCGTTTCGGAGTCCAGGACCATTTTCTCTTTGATAAGCCAGTGTCCCCTTTGCTAACATGTGCTGGGATGGCACGTGACTGGCCAGATGCCAGAGGAATCTGGTATGTTGTGTGACATGCAGAAGCTTGTGTCGTGTTTTAAAGATTGCGTTACAAATCTCCTTGCTTGTCCTAACTTTGCAGCCACTCTGTCCCTATACTCACAGCATGTTCAGTTTGCTTTTAGGAAAAAAAAAGTTTTCTTGCTTAATTTAAAAAAAAAAAATCAAAAACCAGTAATGAACAACGGAATGGGTAAGACCTTTATATTCAAGAAGCCATCGCTAATATCATCCACACAACACAGTATATGGCTTCTTCTTTAGCTTTTTGTCTCCATTTTTTCTATTTCTAGATAAAAGATAAATTTGGGAAACAGCCCGTGAGTCACCATGTAGTCAGATCAAAAAACAGTAATGAACAACGGAATGGGTAAGACCTTTATATTCAAGAAGCCATCACTAATATCATCCACACAACACAGTATCATAGGCATGGCTCCTTCTTTAGCTTTTTGTCTCCATTTTTTCTATTTCTAGATAAAAATTTGATTTGGGAAACAGCCCGTGAGTCACCATGTAGTCAGCAGAGCTGAGGCTACAAAAGCAGCTCTAGCACCAGATTGTAGCCGTGCTGTCAGCTAGGAACCACCGGCCATACAGCTGCAGGACACCACACTGCAAATTCCTGTCCCCCTCCTCACTGTCAAGAGACAGAGTGTTATTTTAGTTCCCAGAGCTGAAAGTAACCCTTTCTTTCCAGTCATGAACGGGACAAAAAGGAAATACAGAAGTTGAATTTCGTATTTTGTTCTAGGTCTGTTTCTACTTTCACAACACACTTGACATATTTTGTGCCCAAATACGGTATTTTCTGGGGAGAGAAAGGGACAATAGCTCTGAGATCAGCGCACTTACCAGCTAGCAGAGGATGGGGGCAGCTGTGCATCCATCCTGGTATACTTCTAGGCATTACCAGATGCTTTAATTCTGAAAAATTAAGCTAAAAAGGATTCTGAGGAATCACCTAGCCTGTCTCCTTGCCCTAGGCAGGTTCAGGACTTTCAGAGGGGATGGGACTTTACGTGGAAAAAAAAATCCAGCTGTTATCCAAGCAGTGTATGACAATCCTGGCTCATGTTCAGAAGCATAGCCAGTATTATTGCTGCGATGAATTAAAGGTGGTTTCTGTCGGGGAGCAGGCGCTGTGAAACCTGATCACACATGAAACCTGATCCCTGTGAAACCTGATCACACATGAAACCTGATGACCTGCTGGAAATCTGTGAGGATTTTTTTATTTCAACAAGCTTCAGATTAGTTCCCTGGTCCCCATCTAAATCTCAGGAAGAGGAAGAAGATAAATCTGAGGCATCCCATTCATAGTCTCTACAAACAAACAGGAGAAGTACCAACAATATAAATACTATCCTGCGACCTCCTGAATAAAACAGACATGGGTTTTGGCTTGTTTTACATGTGAAATATCAGGCAGACTGGAAAAAAATTAGTATGATTGGAAAGTATTTCAGTAAGCCACATTTGGAAAAAAACCTGCCTTGCTCTTGCAAGAAATTATTGTCAAAAAGAGTACACATTCTAGAAATTATTTTGTTCATAAAGATTGCAATCCTGTCCTTGTTATGGGCTGCAGGACTATTCCCACCAACCTCACCGGCAGCGATGGCACAGTTTAAATGCACTCAGCGTGGCCTCCCTCCATGTTCTTTAAAGCAATGGGGAGACTTAGTTAATTAGGGAGGGAGCTGAGTCAGGCCAACCTCAGTCTATTCGGAAAACCCTCCCCGGATCATTTGTACGTGACTGAAGACGAGGTAGCTGGACCTCGGGTGACCATAATGTCAGGGCACAGGATGTTTACATCTGGCAAACTCAAAGTGCGAAAAAGAGAGTTGCATTTAAAGACGAGCTGAAAGTCAGGCTCTCAGTGAACTTTAACTTTCAAATTCCATGTGTTTCAAACCTGGTAATATTCCACTGTTTGTACGAATGAGTCTGATGCCATCAATCACCTTCTACGTGCTGTAGAAAGGCTGTAGTAGAAGACAGAGAAAGTGGAGAAAAAGCCAGGAAAAGTGACCTCAGGTTTGATCCGGCACTTAATAAACCTAGCCATGACTGATCTGTTTGAAGCAGGAGTGGGTATCTTCAGGCATTTTTATCTGGACTGACAAGTCAGCATCGCTAATGCGCTGTCCAGAAGCAACGTGCAGCTGCTGTCCTTGGACTCATAACTTGACTGATGTGGCAATCCAGTGCTACCAAGCGATACAGAGGGCACTGGGATTTGATTTAGGGGAGAATACAATTAAGTAAGGAAGTATTGCTTGGCCCCCAGCAGTATGTAAACGGCAGGGTTTTTTTCCTGGCTGCACAGTTTTCTAAGAACAATAAAAACTGTACCCGGTGATGGAGGATGCAGAGCTTGGCTTCTCCCTTTACTGCACCTCCCAGCTGTGCTCGTGCTAGAGCACAACACGTTTTTCTTTGCTCAGAACCGCGGCAGCATAATTTAATCAGAAAAACTGCTCTTCTCGCTGTGCCTGAGAAACCCGCGTAATGCCATTGGCATGGGGGATCCAACTGTGAAAGCAGCTCAAATCCCTAACTCTGCAGAAGAATGTTATTTTGCTGCGCTTAACCCCTCCACAGCCCTGAAAGACTGTGATAAAGCTAAGGATACTGAGAGTTATTTTTCAGGGCTTGTCTTTTTAAAGATACTCTTTTTTTTGCTCTTAACCAGGCATAACAACGACAAGACATTTCTCATCTGGATTAATGAAGAGGACCACACCAGGGTGATCTCCATGGAGAAGGGTGGCAATATGAAACGGGTGTTTGAAAGATTTTGCCGTGGTTTAAAAGAGGTAGTATCTCAATGAGTTTATTATTCCCATTTGTTTATTTTTGGGCTGTTGTCAGCACTGCTTACTGTGGTTCATACTGAACTGTCATCTCCGGGAGCAGCAAAATGAAGTAACACCAGTCCACGTAGCAACCCACACTAATGCAGTTAAAGAAGGAAACACGGGCAAATTGCTAGCTGAGTTGTAGGGAAAAATAAATAAAATGTCTTTGTAGTTTTTGTGTTAAAATCTTGAGCACAACCTGGTGGAAGAACTATCCCCTTTTTTGCCACTTTGTGCTTGCAGGCTGTGGGAATTCATAAATCAAGCAACTTATTTGGATTGCTTGATTTGCTTGAATGAAGAATTTATTTGGCCCAGCCTCCTGGTTCTCATCCCTGATGCTGGGAGTGGAGTGGATGCTGCTGAGGTTGTACACAGGACTGAGGACTTAAGACCCCTGGGCTCACTGCCAGTTTTGGGGACATACGGGGTTTTGTGATTAAAATACTAAAAACTGATAGCCAGGGTTCCTGGTCTAGATATTCATGAAGACAAAAAAAGCCTTCATGAGATGGTGTGTGGACTAAAACAGTTTTGTCTAGACAATCCAGGTATAGCTGCAAGTTGGCTCCAGCCCTGTGCAGTCCTGTGTACTGCTCTGGCACAGAAAAAGTTGCTTTAACAGAGAAAGAAGATTTTACTGTGTCCCACAGGCACTACAGCAAGGTGCAGTGGGACAGGTGACATGGCCAAACGCTATTCTCCACTACTCTTGTCCACATCATTCCTGGTTGGATTTCTGTAATACATGAAACCCTAGAGGTTAAACTATGTCAGACTGACACTGGCTTGAAATTGTCTCTGAGACTGTAAGAATATTCAGGCTGCATAAACCAACTATTTCTCCCCATTGGGATCCTTGGCAAGCTCACTTCATCTGAACTGTGGAGGAACAGCATTTGCCTCCATCACACTGCTTTTCCTCCTGGATATGGAAATGCATATTGGGCCAGCCTTGGACTGCTTGCTTCATTCTTCTTACCTTGGCAAAACAGCTTCTCTGGCTTTCTAGAGACATCCCTGTCTCGGAAACCCCCCAGCAAGTGCAGAGCTGATATAGCTGTGCACCCCTTCCATATCACTTCACAGCCCCCAGTCAAAAAAAGCAAGGCCAAGTAGGGGCAGCGGGGAACTACAATCTCTTGACTGTGGAAGCAGAGGAAGTTCAGAGCATTCATAGGGAAGTTTGAGTATGTAGTGTGTTTGGGAACACAGAGGAACAAAAGCACCTATTGCATGCTTCTTTGGCACTGGGGTGGTTAACTGGGACCTGTTAGGTTTCCAAGGTATACCCGTGAGACTGAACAGTGTACAGGGCAGTGGCCCAGGTGACATGGCTTGCGGATGCTGCTCCCAGCTTTGCCTCTGCTACTGTGCTTAGCTCACGTTCAACAGAGGTGGACCTATGGACCTGGCCATGGGAAGTGGTCAGACAGCTTTGGGAACTGTGACCAGAGCAGGTGTCTGAGGCAGGAAATCAGGTCTAGTTTCCCACCATCAATTCTGGTGTCCTCACACAATATAGAAATGATGCTAGGAGAGTCTCTATCCTTCTGCAGAACGGAAGTATTCACCTATATTTGCAGAGGTCTTGTGAGCATGAGCTGGTTTATGTGTCTGATTCTCCTCTAGAGGAGAAGAGAACTGAATTGAAATTGTATTTGGATCACAGAAGTAAGTTCAGGAAGTGTAGAGGAGTGAACAGAGTACCAGCCTATTCAAAGGTCAATAGACCCTTGTGATTTTTCTGCGGATAATTACTTCATTCTCCTTTCTAATCTGGTCAGAGATCTACTAATGAAAAGTACTATATACAAGCTATGTTGTCTCCTTATAACGGAAGCGTGGCTGTTAATACTAGACATATAGAAGCCAAGTGTCCTCCCCCAAGAGTCATGGCATCACCCTGAAAATTACACAAAACTCAGCTTCAGCTCCTTTTGTTTGCTTCATAGCATTTGAGTCCTTTGGGCTTGTGTGTTGCAACCTTGCTCCAGAAATACCAAGGTTAGAAACGCATGGCAAAAGCTGTAATTCTTACATGAAGATATGGCTTCATGGGCTAAGGCTATACCAAACCACCATGACAGGGAGCTTTGTGATAAAGTGACAAAGAGTCTGCAAGCTAGTGGTCATGAGGAAAAAATGAAGAAGTCCTTGTAATATGCACCGGGGATCTTGGCGTCTGATGAATGCAAACATTTGCATCAGATCCAAACCAGACTGTACTCAGGTGTAAATTTATGCAACTCCACTGGTGTTAGTGAAGTTCATCATCAACACAGATACATGGTGAAAAGAATGTCAGCTATAAGCAGACATCTTAAAATAAGACATTTGTATGCTGCCCTTTTCTTTTTGCTTTCTTTTTTTTTTTGCCATCATAGGTGGAAAGATTAATTAAAGAACGGGGCTGGGAGTTCATGTGGAACGAGCGTCTCGGATATGTTCTGACCTGTCCTTCCAACTTGGGAACTGGTTTACGCGCTGGAGTCCATGTTAAGCTGCCCAAGCTTAGCAAGGTACGTAAGTTGGTTAAAAGGCCAGTGACATAAGTCAGCTCTTCTGAATTATAAAGGAACAAATGAAAAATGACAGCTTACAGTGACTGCACATTATTGTGATGTGTAACAAGGTCCCAGGGATAAAGCACAACTAATTGAGCACACTTTTGTTCTGCAAATTATTGTATTTGTTATGGAAATTAATCTACTCAGCAGACAGATGCCAAGACAGGCTCTAATCCAAGGACTGAGAAAACTATCCACCTCTGCCTGCATTTCTGGAGATGCTATCAAGTCATTGGAAGGATCTGGCACAATAGGCAGGGTAAAAGGCATTAAGCTCAAACCTGTTTTTTCTGATAGGATCCCAGGTTTCAAAAAATCCTGGAGAACCTGAGGCTGCAAAAGCGCGGCACAGGTGGAGTGGACACGGCAGCTGTAGCAGATGTGTATGATATCTCCAACCTGGACCGCATGGGTCGCTCAGAGGTAACCTGTTCTTTTTTTTTTTCCTTGCTTTTTACCTCAGATCTGTAGTGATATGAGTCGGTTTCCCCCCGGTTGGTTGGGTTCACTCCGTTGACCTCAGTGGAGCCATGGCAGTTTTTACTCCTGATGAATCTGGTCCAATGGAAGCGCTTACACAGTGGAAAATTACTGATGTCCGTGAAGTGCTTGCCAAATATTCCTGTTGTGGCAATGAAAAAAAAGCCCTGAGCAAGTTCCACAAACGTGACTTGTTTGCACCATGCGCTGGGGCTCTCCATTGAAAGCACACAGGTGCTGGAAAGGTTTGGCTTTGGTAACAGACATCCCTCAGGATGATGTTTCTCAGCATCACAGCTCAAACTCTCAGACCTGCCTGCCTGCTGGAGTGCACAGCTGTGAGATCGGTGTCCGGCCGTCCCTGCAGTGCTGGACATGAGACGTGTGTAAGAAGTTGTACAGTGGGCACTGAGGTAGCCGCTACACATTGGGCAGGTACCTGCTGTACCTCCTGCAAAATGTTGGGGCAAGAAGCAGGAATCGACTCCTAACCCACCCCGGGAATCAAGCACTGAAAGCAAGAGGGTTTAAGGTGGTGTTTTCCTTTCAGTATTGAGTCATGCGCTTTCTCCACAGTTAGGCAGCAGGAAAAGGCCAATCCTTTCACTCCAAAATAATTGAGGAGGAGGACTTAGTGCCATCTTCACGTGTCCCGTGTGGCACTGAGCAGAGGATGCGGGAGAGCTAGGTTTAAATCAAGGCAAAGACTTAATTGTCAGCTCTGAGCCCTCCCTGTTGGGCTGTAGGCTACGATGAGATGGGTTCATCTCAGACATTTGTTTTGAAGCTATTTCAGTTTTAATGAGTATTTGTTGTGCCAGAGAGTGGAAACAACCCTACAGCCTGGAGGTGCTGCTGCTCTCCTGGGAGCCTCGGGTCCCAGATCTCATTCCAGTTTCCTATTTAAGTATTTTATAAAGCAGAACAGCTCCTAAGAGCAAATCTACTGGAGGATGGGGAAGAAGCAGCCCTGTCAAAGAGTTGTAGCCCCCTCTCACTAGCTCTGCCTGAGCCAAACCCTTATTCCAGGTCACAGGCTGTAAGTCCTGTGGCACCACTACTGTGGCTTCCCTTTCCTCACCAAGACTAGGGCTGTGTTCACCCTTGGCCACATCAAGAATGATGTGAGACAACTGAGACAAAAATTCACCTTGCAAGACCCTGTGACTCCAGTGATTTGAGCGCTCTGCTAGTAGATAGGAAACAGAGGTTCAAACCTTCTGTCAAACATGTCTTTCACCCCCCAGGTGCATGCTGTAACCTCTCAGCTAGGTGTATGCTGTAACCTCTCAGCTATGGTCAACCGGGCAGGCCCTAGTGGGACTGATGTCTCCTGAGGACCGTTTTTCTCCACTAGCAGTGCAATACACGATTCGGGCTCAGATGCCAACCTGCTTGTGCATGTCAGGATTCGAAGGGCTGACTGCTTGCCCAGCAGCAAAATTTTAATTACCTTGTGGGCTTTGCTGCAAGTTAGAACTCCATTGCAAAGAAAAGCATGCTGCCAAGGTGTTTATCCAGAACAGCACAGCACTGAGAGGCTTTGGCAGCTTAGATATAGATGCAGTTTGGTCCTGCTGTTGCAGTGCAACACCCAAGTTCAGCCTGATTCTTGGTAGGTTTTCATAACATTAATATAACCGTGGGATAATGCACCTGGGTTACAACTAGATTCAAACGGGTCCACAGCCAGCCCGATGGCTTCCCTCCTCGCTCACCTTGGGTTTTCTGCCACTGGGACAAAGCCAAGTCAGGTCTTCTGCACTTTCCTATTTGGACATGCCCTTGAATGTCTTCACAGCCAAGGGACATTTGGACAGGGGTTTGGAAATTTTAAATTTTAGAGTTTGATGTAGGCAGCTATGTTCCTTTAGATCTAAACCAAAATAAATAGGAGTGAAAAGCTACTAAGCTGTATTATTTGCAAAAACAGTATGTGACAAAGACATTTATTAATACCTGAAACATCATCATGTGTGCTTTATACTAAAATAACACTAATAGTACAAAAGGATTACATGGCATGATTAATTAATATGAGTTCTACTGACAGATGGCCTAAGCCTACAAATTTTTGCTTATATGAAGACTTCCACTGAAGTCAGTGATTCCTCGTACAGCAAGGATTCAAAAGATTAAGTCAATAGATAAGATACAATCCCTACCTTGAAGATTTTGAAATCTAAATAAGACAAGACAAACTCAAGGGGATAGAAATGTTTTATTATAAGACATATTTTTTTCAGTACATAATAAAATAAATTCCATTTTGTGGTAAATGTGTTTGCAGAACTGAATTATGTTCCCAAAGGTGCAAGACAAAATTGTTTGTGTTTTTGCTTTGTTTCAGTTACTGGTCAATGCAAACTTAATATGAAATTCCTTTTCTCCTGGAGGCTGCAAATTCAGACCTCTGATTTCCCAACACAGCTGGTCTGTAAAAGACAATAAAATAAACTGCTAAGCCACTGAAATGCTTTATAGTAAAAACAAATCCCTTGAAAATCTGTGACTGTCACAATAAAGAGACAATGGGATTTAGTCTTCGTCTTTGGTTTTTAACAAACCAGTCATTAAAGGTTGCTAATGAACCATTTCATGAAGATCAAGAAAAATCAGGGCTATAGCTTGCTGGCTAACAATATCACAGGGCCTGCGGTCCTCGCATGTCACCGCCTGTGGAGAAAGTCTGCTGGGGACAAGGCACCTTGTACTCTTCAGCAATTTTGAAAAAGGTTACAAAGGCACCACTACCCCCTGCCATACAGAACTGCAAATTTTGGTGCTGCTCTGGGCCTGGAGCTAATCCCACACCTGCCAGTGTAAATCAAGAGCTGAAAACAAAGGAGTGATGGACGGATGTAAAGCCAGCATGACTTTAGGATGAGTGCCTCTGCTTCAGAGATGTGGGTCCTGGGCTTGGCAAAACCACCTCAGCAAAGCCAGCATGCTTGGCAGAATGAGTAGGACATCTTTCCCCACAGCTGATGAATCAGTGCAGCAGGGTTCATGATCATCTGCAGGGGAACGTATGGTCCTGAGCCATGCCTGTGAAGAAGGACAAGGCTCTGGTTTCACGAGCTTTCTCAGGCAGTCTAAATGGCTGTGGCCAAGCAGGTAGTCCTGCCATCCTCCCAGTCCCAGCCACGTGAAGGACTCCTACCCCGTGCCTCCAGCAGCATTCAGGGCCAGTGTGAATCAGGGCAATGAGCCTGTCTTCCTCTCCTTGCACCACCGTCCTAGTTAGTTCCTCTCCGAACCCTGTGCTCACACAAATGCTCCTGCAAGCTCAGGGATGGTAGGGGCTTGGGAGCTGGGAAAACACAGCAACAGCATTAGCTGCTTCAGCATGAACTTCCCAGTGATGCTGAGCGCTCACAGCGCTGCTGTTTTGGTTTCTTCATCCTCGTAGATGAGTGTAGGGAACACAGTGGACAGGCACCCCTGTTTGTGCCTCATGTTACTTTTCAAGCAAACACCTGGGGAGGATCCTGCACCCCCACAGTTGTCACATTTGAAATAGGTCTCTCAGCTCATGCCTAAACATTTTCTATAAGGACTTTTGTTTGTTTGCTTTGTTCCTATAGGAATATGAGTAGGAGCGGAATTTGGTGGAAATAACTTTAGGGACCTATTTGATAGTTTCTGTTGCTGGCAGCCCAAACTCAGGGCAAAGAGCAGAAAGGAATTACTATGGGTTTCCACCGGACCAGCATGACCCATACTCCCTGTGCCACAGGGTGTGTGATCTCTATGCCATGACCCTCCTTACTTACAGCTTTACCTGCTGTCGTTGCAGTACAAGCCAATTTTCCCTTCCTCTATTAACAGCATTAGCTAAAGATTGTATTACTACTATTTTCTTCTTGTTGTAGGTGGAGCTAGTCCAGATTGTCATTGATGGGGTCAATTACCTAGTTGACTGTGAGAAGAAACTGGAAAGAGGTCAAGACATCAAAGTGCCACCACCGTTGCCTCAATTTGGCAAGAAGTGATCTTGCTGCTGATGGCTAGCAACTGATGGAAAATATGGCTCCCGTTCTGACAGAAAGGCATCTCTGTATATCTCTGTATAAATATCTTGTGTAATAAAACACTACCTGATGTCTCCTCAGATGCTTAGCTGCGCTGGCAGAAGCTAGTCTTCGTGCAGCTTTACTAGGATGTACCCAATACAACCAAGGTGGTACACTCTTTTGTGGGGACTGCTTCTCTTTCTTTCTTGGTTGGTGATAAGGACAGGACTACCTGAGTAATGCAAAAAGCACAAATCCTTAATTCTAGTCTGCATTTGCACTTATGTCCATACTTACGACGTCTCCTATGAGCACCTAATTTTCATTCACAGAGGCACTTCTCTCCAGTGACTGTCCAGGCAGCTGAGATTTGCCAGCCTGAGGGGCAGGTGCTGTGAAGTGGTCATGGCTTTTTCAGCAACCATTGGACACTGTGGTGAGTTCAACAGTTAACTGAAGTAGGCAGCTGCACATGCGTTCAGTCTCTGAAGTCCACCACTTGACCTGTCGTCAGGAACTGAATGGTGTCTCCACATGGGAGCTGTCTCTTCTCTGTTTGGGACTGGTCTGCACACAAAATTCTTTACCATGCCATCCCAAACCCTCAGACTTTTTCACTCCTGGAGAACTCACCAGGTCACTTCTCAGCTGTTTCCCTCAGGCATTTCTGGCCTGTGGCCTTGTGCTGCAGCAAGCTGGCCCAAAAATCAGCAGGCAAATCAGTTTGCTGATATTCTGTATCCAACATAAACCTGCCAAGCATGGCCTGTCCCAGTCTTCTCCTGCGGCTTTCAGGTTCTAGCTAATGGGTACTAGGCTCAGCTAACCATCACTCATCAAAGTGCCTTAGGATGTACTGCCACTCTGAGCAAGAGCTCTGTGCTCACCACTATTCCAGGTGGTGAGCAGCTTGGTGGAAAGAAAAAACAGCAGATGATAACAGTCCCATTGATTGCTTCTTTTTTGCATATTGAAACATACTCAGTGTTTCACAGTAACCACATTCAAAACACCAGTTCTTAGGGGAAAAAAAAAGTCAAAACATGCTCTGATGAATGTGCTGTGTTGCTGTTGAATGGGGAGTAGTATCAGCAGAAAATGTTTCAGGTCTGTGTAGACAGCAAAATGACACTGCTGAGGTGCCCACTGCTACCGTAGGTATGGCTATGTCTAGGACATGAAGTTCAGTAGTGTTCAAACTGGCGCCCTGGAGCCCACTGCAGCACCTTGAGCAATGCTAGTTTAGTTTATAAAACTCGTGTAGTGCAAGCTCTGAGAAAACATTGAGAAAATGTGTTAGTCCTAGTTTAATTCTCAGGTGGTAGGACCTCCCCTAACAAAGCATCCTTCATCAGAAACCTCTCAGCTGACATCTACTGTACAATGCCAGCCTGGAGCAAAGCCCCTGGAGAAGGTTTTTCAGTGAGTCATATCTGAAGAGTTGTGACAGGATAGCTAGGTCATAACCAGTTACAGACTTCAAAAATCACAATTGGAAGCTAATTGAGAGCTAGATGGTGAATTAGCAGCTCTTGGAAATCAGCAGCATGATGTGCTCTTGTTTCTGGCTCAGAAGGAAAACTGTTGCCTATAAAGGAGGTTGGAGCTTCCGTATGATTGCTGTTTCTTCCTCATCTGTGCTGGGTACGTTCCCTAACATTTTGCTACCAGCTTTCTAAATGATGGTTAATAATAGTAATTCTGGGGGAGGGAAAGAGACTTCTGCTGATTTCACATAGAAGGCAAACAAGTAAAACTGGAAAGACTTCATTGTTAGATCTCCAAAACACTCAGATCAACACAAAATTCGACTATAGGCCAAATGTGCTCAGATTATAGCCTCTACTTGCTTTTCTCCTGCTGATTTGCAAACTGCTGATAGGCAGTGGTACGAACTCCAGCTGGCAGCCATTTACTAACAGCATTCCTGAGGGGTTGATATTGGAGCTGATGATACTGTTTTAGTACCTTTAACACTGACCTGGATGACAGGGTGCATTACACGGTCATCCAGTCCACTGCTGGTGCTAAATAAAAGGGAGCAGCTGGTACACTGGAAAGCAGGGCTGCTCTTCAGGGCACATTTGACTGTAGAAATGGGCTGACAGAAATCTCATGAAGTTCAGCAGAGGCAGAGGCAAAGTCCTGCACCTGGGGTGGAGCAACTCCATGCAACAGCACAAGCTGGGGGACAACAGGGTGGAAAGCAGCTTTGCAAGGGCTTAGGGTCCTGGCAGACAGCAAGTCGGCAGTATGTCCATACTGGGCTGTATTACATGTGAGTGTAGCCAACAGCTTGAGGGACATGATTATTACCCCTCTGTCTGGTACTTGTACAACTTCATCTGAAGTATGGCGTCCAGTTTTGGGCTTCCCCAGTACAGGAAAGACAGTGACAAACTGCAGCAAGTCCTGGAGAGGGCCACCAAGACAGTCAGGGGGGCTGAAGTATGACTTATGATGTGAAGCCGAGAGAACTGGGTTTGTTCAGCCTGGAGAAAAGGTGGCTAAGGGGAGATCTTACTGATGTCCACAACTGCTGTCCACATCAGAGGATGTAGAGAAGACAAGCTCGAATCTTCTTGGAGGTGCACAGCAACAGGACAAGAGGCAACAGACACAAGCTGGGACACTGGAAATTCCAGTTAGATATTAGGAAGATCTTTTGCACTATGAGGGTGGTCAAACATTGGAACAGACTTGGAAATACTCAAAACTCAAGGAACAAGGTCATAAGCAATCTAAGTTGACCCTGCTTTGGGGTTGGAGTGGGATGGGTGGGGTGCGTTGGATCAGATCACCTCCAGACCTCCACCCTACATAATTCTGTGATCCCGTGACTGAATCAATTATTGCAAAATGCCTGCAGATGAGTAAATAAGCCAGAGGAATGCCCTGGCCATCCTGTGCTCTGACCAGACATGGAATTAAGCCTGAACAAAATATGCATACCCTGATATGATTTACTCCCTGCTATGATTAAACGGTGGCTTTCTCTGTATTGTTGGCTTCCAAGTATGTCCTTCACAATCAAAATACTCTTCCTCATATGGATTATTTTGTAAAGGATTGTTATTTGCCATCTACATTTTTCACTTCTGTGCTCTTTCTCACTCTCCGTGGCCTTTATACTGTCAGCAAGAGTAACTCAGCTGATTAATATGAATGATGTATTTTCATTCTTCATTCCACATCACTATTTAATATTTTATCTGAAACTTACATATCTATTAACGTTATGCTGGACATCTTTACTCAGTCCTACTCCATCATTACAGTCCTCAGACCAGTTTGCTGTCTGCTTGGACATGTTTATCTCCAAGTTGAGTGCATCCTGGGGGTGGGAGGTGTGGGGAGGTGGTGGGGGTCTGTTCCTGTAAGCCTTCAAGGACAGCTTAAAGGCAGCAACACTGCAGCTGCACTGTTTCCAGAGGATATGCTCCGGTGAATGGCTGTAGCAGGAAATAAACAACCTGAAAGGTTATCAAACAAAAGAAGAGAATCATACAGATTATGATTCAGTAAGAAGATATTAAAGGTTAAAAAGCTGGGTTGCTGCACTAACCCTAGACATACGATGTTACTTCTTGCCTTCTCGTATTTATTATTCCCATGCCACCAATTCTGCATTGCTCAGATCCTCTTCTGCCAATAAAACTCTTTCCTGATAGATTCAGACACTGATTCTCTATAAATCTTTGGAATTTATTTGATTAAGTACTCCAAGAAGAGCTATATGCCTTGCCTCAAGTACTTTTATAACCTTCTTGACGAACACATCAGTGACTAGGGATCAGCAAAAGCAAACTCTCAGGTCATGCTCCATCAAAGCCCACCAGTGGTCCATCAGGCAGTTCATGCAGGGTGAGAACTGGAGTGGAATTTGCCATTAGAGGATAAAGGAAAAGTGGGCACTGTACTCTCAGCTCTACCAGGAAACGGACAATGACTTTGCAAGAGGAGCCTCTGTACAACAGTGAACACATTCTTCTGTGTTGAAACTGCCATACAAATATTGCTCTAACAATAAATACCTTGTCTAAATGGCTGGGGTGATGGGCATAAACTGTGTTGATCTGCATTTGCACCGTAGGGGGACCAAAGGCCCTCAGAAAGCTACAGATCTTTGACCTGTGCGCTATCAAAACGTTAGCGTTAATGACAGACCTTTTTCAAAGCATGTACAGGATAAAGGAAGAGAAAAAACAGTGGATGAGAGGAACACAGGCTGAAAGCACAAAAGAAGAGAAGAGCCAAGGAAAACAGAAGTAAGGTAATTCTCAGCCAGTCAGGAGCATAATTACATATATTGGGAGATTCAAGCATGGACGCATAAGCCAAATTATTTGTGCCAAGCCTGAACTGGGTTTGGAGCTGTGTTGAAGTTAACGCACACAGCGACTGACCCTGGGCTTGCAACAAGCCCATGGCCTGGCTAAGAAGCATTGTCAATAAACTGGAAAGTCAAGGGGTGGCTCAAATGTAGAATTCAAGCCAGGAGCAGGGTCGGAGGCTGGACCAAGGTGATGGAGGCAGGAAACCCAAGCCCAGGGCACGGAGTAGCAGGCGTGGGGCTGCCTCGGGAGGAGGCAAGGGATGCTTCAGGACAGCGGATCCAAAGAAAGAGAAACACACACATATACCTTCACAAAGAGGGCTAAAACTTTCCTGTACTTGGTAACTGGGCTCCTGCAACATATGCAAAAGATAAATTTCCATATATTAGCAGGCAGGTCTCATGTGACTGAGTAAGCTACGGAACAAACCCGTACTGCCTGGACCTCTTCAGTTTTCTGGTCAGTTGTAAGGTCTATCCATCACTAGAGGGCTGAATATGAGCTGTTAGTATAGAAAAACAGCAAGACAGTGGAGGATTTACTGTAACACTTTTTTCCCAAGGAATATAACACAGCATGCACTATAGCAGCATCAGAGTGGCTGAAGACTGACCTACTGTGGTATCTTTGAATTTTGGCTTTATTCCATGCACTGGTGTTCACATAACTCATGGAAAGAGCAAACAAAATTCATGCCTCGCTAGGAGGGTTCCCTGTAATGAAGACTTTGGTAGGTGGGACTACATGCACTGAACTGATTTATTTTCTGAAGCCTGATTTAAAAACTTAAGTCTAAGCCTGTAGCTATGACAGTTTTAATTGATTTCACTCGTGATACCTT